CACAAAAACAAAACAAAACCAAAAAAGCCAAAAAACAACTTCCACCCCAGGAAGGGAGCTGGAAGGGAAATGGGGCTGCTGGGGACAGAACCGGCGCCCATATGGGATCCCGGGCGTGCAAGGCGAGGACCTTAACCACTTGCGCCACCGCGCCGGGCCCACTAGTTCACTTTTAAGAGAGGTGGGCAGGTGCTTGTCATGGTAGCATAGTGGCTAAAGTTCTCATCTTGCATGCCAGGTCAAGATGCCTTGCAAGCCCAGCTTCCCATCCAGCGCCCTGCCTATGGCCTGGGAAAGCAGTGGAGGAAGGCTCAAAGCCTTGGGACCCTGCACCCGCGTGGGAGACCTGGAGGAAGCTCCTGGCTCCTAATCAGCGTAGCTCCAGCTGTTGTGGCCACTTGGGGAGTAAACCATCGGACGGAAAATCTTCCTCTCTATATATCTGACTTTTCAATAAAAGTGAATACATCTCTTTTTTATTTTTATTTTATTTTTTTAGACTTTTTTTTATTGGAAAGGCGGATATACAGAGAGGAGAGACAGAGAGGAAGATCTCCTGTCCGATGATTCACTCCCCAAGTGAGCGCAATGGTCGATGCTATGCAGATCCGAAGCCAGGAGCCTCTTCCGGGTCTCCCGTGCAGGTGCAGGGTCCCAAAGCTTTGGGCCGTCCTCTGCTGCTTTCCCAGGCCACAAGCGGGGAGCTGGATGGGAAGAGGGGCCGCCGGGATTAGAACTGGCGCCCATATGGGATCCTGGGCGTGCAAGGCGAGGACCTTAACCAGTGCGCCATTGCACCGGGCCCAATACATCTCTTAAAAAAAAAAAAAAGCTGGGTGGGAGCCGAGTTTGCATCTCTCAGGAGTCCCAGCTGCCTCGCTTCTGCTCCAACTCCCTGCTGAAGCACCGGAGAAAGCGGGAGACAAAGGTGCAAGTGCTTGGGCCCCTGCACCCGCATGGGAGACCTGAAGAGGCTCCAGGCTCCTGGTTTGGTTCTAAAACCAAACCTGGTCATTGTGACCATTTGGGGAGTGACTCAGTGAACTCGTCCTGACACCTCACACCTGCCTTCTATTTATCTTCCCTTCTTCCTGAGTGGAGGAGGCGCAAAGTGCCAATGCTGGCTCCCCCACCCCTCCTGGGAGCCACCAACAGGGTTGCTGGCGTGAGCCAGGGTGGTACTGATGCTCTCTGTACAGGGTGTGTGTGGGAAACGACAACTCCCTCCTGGTTTCTGCGGGCCCCTCGGGAAGCAGGGACCCAGATGGTTGGGGGCTGCGCAGCTGTAGAGCCCCTGGGATGAGGCCAGCTCCTAGTATAACGCCAGAGGCATACAGTGTGACAGTCAGACGTGCTAACAGGTGGACAGGGTCAGGTCCCTGCTGGAAGCTGGGCTCAGCATGGTAGCCTAGTGGCTAAATCCTTGCCTTGCTTGCAGCAGGATCCCATACAGGCACCGGTTCTAATCCCAGCGGCCCCAATTCCCATCCAGCTCCCTTGTGTGGCCTGGGAATGCAGTAGATGACGGCCTAAGGCCTTGGGACCCTGCACCCGCATGGGAGACCTGAAGAGGCTCCTGGCTTCAGGTTGGCTCAGTTCTGGCTGTTGCAGACATTTGGGGAATAAGCCAGTGGACAGATCTTTTTCTGTCTCTCTTCCTCTCTGTAAATGTGCCTTTTCAATTAAAAAAAAAAAAAAGTAAAAAGGTGCCAAGCGTTTTCCAGGCTGTTTCTAGACAGACCTGCACGCACCCTGCACTGCAGCGAGCAGGCCGATTCCACCCTGGTGCCGACTACCACAGCCCTGACAGCGTCCGTGTACTCAGGAGCAGGTGGGCTTGGGGCCTTCCGCCCACCTGCAGGAGGGCTCAGCCTGGAGTGCACCTGGTCCACAGGGAAGCTCTGGCCTGGGGGATGGGAGCCAAGGCCACCTTCCTCCACGTCCACCAGGCAGAGTGACTCGGTCTGGGCCCAGGCCACAAGCTCCTGGGAACCAACGTGAGGTCAGCATGCTCATGGGACACCAGGCATATACAGGCCAGGGGCGGGGGCCGACAGCCTATGATGTCAGCAAGAAGCCGCCTGCAGTGTCCCCAACAGCCCCACCGGGGCTTCTTGTTGAACTGCCCATAGGCTGACCTGAGATCTGGCTTCCAGGAGGGGTTGGGGGGCCACTCGCCATGGCAGCAGGTGGGCACCAGCACCTCCTGCCCCCATGCCCCACTCTGGGGCCAGAAGCAGCCCCATGTGGGGGCCCAGTCTCTGCTTCCACCCCCTGGAGCTCACCTCAGCCAGGACCTCAGCTCCCTGCGGCCCTCACAGCGTGCTGGCCCTGGGCAGAGGGGCAGGTATAGGATAGGTATGTCCTGCCTGTGCCAGCTCTTTTGCCGGGCACCCTGGCTCAGGGGACAGGGGCCCAGGAGGCAGCAGGAACAATGGGGGCACATCTTTGTTCCTGTGCCAGTGAAATGCCTTCACCCACAAGCAGGGGCTTGGAGGGCTGGCCGGTAGGCACACAGAGCAGCTCGGCCACTGCTCTTTCAGGCTCAGGCTGAGGGGTCTGTGCCAGAATCTGGGGGTGCGCAGGCCGGGCCCCACTGTGTCCCTCATGTCAGTCCTGCCTGTTCCACACGTTCTCGAGACACTGCTGTGGCTTGGCCACAGCCCCGACTGCCACGGCAGTGCCTGTAGACTGGGGCTCAAGGCTGGCCCAGGCTCTGGGCTGCACAGTAGCTGTGAGAACCTGAGCCACCCAGGGGAGCTGGGTCCCATGTGGCAGTCCTGGTGCTCCACAGCAGTATGCTGCCAGGCAGGTGGCTGGCTCCTCTCCTGCTCTGGGTTCCCTATGTACCTCAGAGCACCTGCAGGAGCACTGTACCGTCCCAAGCCAGTCTGGGCAGAGCAGTGGCCATGGCGATGCCCCCAAAACCAGGTGCCTCCAGGGTACTTGCAGGTGTGGTCACACAGGGCTCCCCAGTGGGCATTTGAGCACAGGTGGCTGCCTGGGAGCGGCTGAGGGTACGGGTGGCACCCAGGGACCAAGACTGGATCCTGGAATGAGGACAGCATGGCTCACCAGTGTCCTCTGAGACCCTCGAGGTGGGGCAGCCTATCTCAGGCTGTGTGGGGATGCTGCCAAGTGGGCCTGTCCATGAGGCTTCTGGCCTTGGCTCCTAGCTGCCCACCTCAGGAGGGTCCATTGTGCTGGTGCGCACTGCACCACCTGTCCAGCAGGGGCGGATGCTTAGTGCCCTCCACTCTGCACACCAGACACCTGTCTGGGAGACCTGGAATCAGGAGCCCCCAGACCTCTTACTCAGATGCCGCAGTGCCCCAGGTGTAATGTGCTTCCACAGCCCTCACCTCAGCCACTTCAGTCAGCAGCTTTTGGAGGCTTCCACCCTAAGACAGGCAGGCCCAGGGCCTGGCACCTGCTGATGGCCACCCGGGGCAGAGCCGTGAGGGGCAGGGCTGAAGCAAGGTCTGCCCGCCTGGCCCCTGCTCTCAGAACTGGGGACGAATTCTGGGGGACATACAGCAGCAGAGACCAGGGGAAGCCAGCTGGGAGCCCTCCATGCTGCTCCCGAGTGCCCAGGGTCCATGCTGGCCCAGCCAGGGGAGATGGCCGCCTCACACACCTGCTCCTTTCTCACACCGTCTGAGACTACAAAATTTTGGAGCATTGTTCTTACAGTAAGTCACACAGACCTTCCACCGCTCCACTCCCCAGGCAGTCATCACTGAGCTGAGCTGAAGCCAGGAGCCTCTTCGGGGCCCCTCATGTGGGTGCAGGGACACAAGGACCCCAGTCTCTGCTACTGCCATCCCAGGAAGTAGGCAGTAAGCTTGATGGGAAGTGGAGCAGCCAGGGTGCGAACCTGTGCCCATGAGGGATGCCGTCACCACACAGCGGGCCAGCCTGCCGACTAGCTCACCTGCAGGCGGCCACTTCCGAGTGCTGAGTCAGCGCAGTGCTCTAGCAGAGGTGTCAGCAGGCCCTGTGAGGCTCACAGCCGCTTCTGCAGAACAGTCACGTGCCCAGGTCACCTCGTGCCACAACCACTTTCCCCTGAGGTTACTGAGGTGACACCACTCGCCCTCCTGGCTTCGGCTCCAGGTGCCTCAAGGACCGGGCAGCAGACCCAGTTCTGTTCAGGAATGACACAGGCATTGGGCAGGCAGCGTGGACAGATCGGCACTGGGCACTGCCACTCACCCTCCTGGCTCCCCTGGGGACCTGAGTCCCTGTCCCAAACACTTGGCCCTTTCTTCCATTTCCAACCACAGCAGGCCAACCTTGGGGTCCCCCTCCGCCAGCAGCACCCTCGGCACATGCCCACTCTGCCTGACTGGGAGCACACACCTGCCTCCAGGATGAGGTCCACACAGCTAGCACAGCCCAACAGGAAGGGCCTGCATCCCACTCTCCTCCACGGCCACCGTTCACTGCCTTCCCGGGCTTAGCAGCAGGGTTAACGCAAGTGGAGTTGCTAGCTGGCTCCTAGCTGGTCCTCTGACATGGGAGGCCAGCACTGCTAAGGCAGCCCCACTTCCCAACCAGCTCCCTGCTTGTGGCCTTGACCCTGCACCTGAGTGGGAAACCCGCAAACAGCTCTGGCTCCTGACTTCGGCTGAGCTCCAGTCACTGGAGCCATCTAAGTAGTGAACCAGTGGAGACCTCTCTCTCTTTTTGCAGTAGGCATTCATGGATTCCTGAGGAGTGATTATTTCTGTTGGAATGTTCTCACATAGTTCTTCATTCACCTGCCACCAGTCCCTAGAGCATCCCATCGGTCGCCAGCACGTTCCCATCCTCCCCATTCATCCTTGGGTGACAGGTGTGAACAAGGAGGCTTGGGGCAATGTGGGAGACAGGGGCAGGACTGCTGCCAAGCATGCATTCCTGCACGCCGAGCTCCAGCTGCTATGCTGGTGTAAGAGTGGCCGCAGGCTGGCCGGAGCGAGGGGCGCGTCTTGAGCCAGGACCGCGTGATGGTGCTGCAGTCACAGATGGCTTTATTCATGCCACAGAGTACCCAGCACTGGGGCAGACGATGGTGACCCCCCACGCTGCCCCCAACACAGTATGGTCCCAGGCGGGCGGCCTGTCTTCCCCGGGCACGGCCAGCTGAGCTGGCTAGTGGTGGCCGTGAGCAGGAGCAGGACCTTTAGGAAAGATGCAGAAACAGAAGCAGCTGAGGAGGCAGGGCAGCGGCCTTGAAGTCATGACATGCACGGTGGGAACTTGGAAGGGGTGGGGGGCCCAGCTCTGCTTGTGGGCAGGAGCCCCTCTTCCGTCAAACTCACCAGGCCTGCGTGTCTACACCCTGCTGTTGCTGAAGGGAAGCCTGCCACGGACTAAGCTCACCAAACACCCTCTCCGGGCACGGCCAGTGTGCACAGAGCTCACGTGGTCGGCCCTGGTACTGAACAAGCGGCGAGCCAGGGTTTCCTTCCTCCAAGCGCTCAGACTACGAGAAGCCGAGCTCAGACCCAGCTGGGCTGTCCCTGTGCCCCCCTGCCGCCCCGCACGGGCACAGTGAGGCGCCCCTCTGCCTCAGCCATGCAGACAGGCTGTCCCTGTGCCCCCTGCCGCCCCGCACGGGCACAGTGAGGCGCCCCTCTGCCTCAGCCATGCAGACAGAAGCCTTACCTTTGGAAGCTTTACTTCTTTTATCTAAAAAAGAAAGGAAGAAACCCGTCATCCCGAGGTCGTCACAGTGCTTTCCACACACTCACTGCGCGAGCCAGCTCCGGGCGCAGGCAGGCCCGGCAGGAAGCTCCTGGCGACCGCCTGCCTCGGCAGCTCCACTCGGAGCGGGCCCCGCTGCAGAGGTAGCAAGCAGAGCCCAGCAAGGTGACACCCAGAGAAGACATGCAGCCCGTGACCGTCTGGGGTCTGCCTGAGTTGCAGTGTCCCGGGGCCGCTGACGCCCCAGAGCACCACAGGTGGCACCGATCCCCACCCACAGGAGCAACTGAACTTTTGGGTACAGCAAGGTAAGCTTTCCCCCGGGGCGCCGGCACTCGTCCTGGCCGCTCCACTCCCACCCCAGCGCTCTGCCTGGCCTCGAGGAAGCTCCCGGCTCTCTCCCAGCTGCAGCCAGTGAAGATCTCCCTCCCGGAGGTGCTCTCCTGCCCCAGCACAGCCACTGCGGACTCACCAGCACTCCTGATCTTGTACACGATGAAGCCCATGAGCCCCACCCCCGCCCAGATCTCCTGGTAGGCCTGGGTGTAGTAGGGCTTCATGGGGGTCCAGACGTTCCTAACCAGGCTCTGGAGCATCTGCAACAGAGAGGCGTCACCTAGAAAGCCTGCCCTCATGCCACAGCACTTCCCCTTGGCAGGTGGCAGTCCACGGCGGGCGGGCTGGGGACCCCTCGGCTCGTGGGATTCTGCCCCGCACACCCTTCTTTCCAAGATGCCAACCAACAGTGACGTGGGTGTGCCCTCACTGCCATGCTAGGGTCAGAGAGCGTGTATGTGTGGTCAGTGACAGGGCCGTCCTGTGGGGTGTGTGATCTGTGACACGCGTGTCCTTGCTCCAGGGAGCAGGGCCGCCCCTGACTCGCCTGCCCAGCCCCCCTGAGGAGTCTGCGGGGCGGCTGCTCACTGGGCACGCACCCAAGGTGAGCAGACAGTGCTCTGCCACAGGTGGGCATTTGGCAGACAGCCCGCTCCAGTCCTGGCCCCCACCTGCCAGCCTGCCGAGACACCTGCAGTGTCCCGGGAGTGCCCGCAAGAGCCCACACAAAGGCTTGTCCCGCACCCCCACACCAGGCTCGTCCCGCACCCCACCCCCACACCGAGGCTCGTCCCGCACCCCCACTCCCACACCAGGCTCGTCCCGCACCCCACCCCCACACCGAGGCTCGTCCCGCACCCCACCCCACACCGAGGCTCGTCCCGCGCCCCCGGAGCCCACCTCGCCGCGGACTCCCTCGCACCACCGGCTTCCAGGGACGACGACTCAGGAAGGTCACGGAGTACGCACGCGTCGCGCGGGGCTTGCCGGGAGGACGACAGAGTCGGCGGTGGGCCGGGCCAGAGCGTATCCACGTCGCACATGCGCACCACAGCGCCTCCGCCGGCCTTCCCAGATGCTGCAGGCAAGAAGGTGGGGACACCTGAACCGCGTCATGGCCGCACACAAGGGCTCCGCGCAAGGACGACCCTTGAAGCTGCGCCATGGCAGGGTCCTCGGCTTCGCAAGGACCGCGAGGTAAAGGCTCTGCACAAGCTGACAGGACCATCCCGGCCAGCTCACAGGCTGAGGGAGTGGGCCGCCGGTGACTGAGCTGGGACAGGAGGGTGGGGCTGAAGGGGGTCCAGGACAGGCTGGCACAATGCCCTCAAACTGGTGCCTCTCCCGGGGTGCGCTGTGGTGTCTGCCAGGCCTTGCTTTCCTCACACCAGAAAATACTGTTTTTGGAAAGTGTAACGATACAAACGGATGCCATTTTCACACGTACGATTTCTTGTAACATCAGAAGAAATACATTTTCCATAAATTCTTCAGTGTATCCTCAAGCAAATGTTAAGTAGTAATTCAGAAAATGACCAAGGAAGCACAGACAAGGTATCCAGGACGTTTGAAAATTAAGATTTAGGTAAGACATACGTTTACTTTTATTAGCGAAACAAAGAGGGGCTGGCTTTGTGGTGTAGTGGGTTAACGTGCCTGCCGGGACGTGGGGCAGCCTTGCCCCCCGCCCACCTCCCTGCGGGTGGAGCCTGCAGCCCGTGCCTGGAGCCTGGCCTTGGCTGCAGCCATTCGGGGGTGAAGCAGTGGAGGGCCGATCTTCCTTTAGCTCTTCCTTTCACTGTGCCTGTCACACCAACCAACCATCTTAAACGGACAAAGGAAATGGCAGTCACTTGCAAAGACAGCTAGCTCCACCTTCCGCCTTCAGGGAATGAGGAGCTGAGGATCAAGGCACAGTCGTGGGAAGAACCAAGCCGATGTGAAACAGCAGGGCACTGCCGGCCTCGCTTGCCTCACCTACCTGTGTCGGTCTGTGCGTGCAGATCCCGCTGAGACCGTGCGAGCGGACAGTGCCTGGTCTCCCCAAACGAGCGCCTTCCCTGCGGGCGGTGAACGAAGCATCAGTGGTAGGCAGCATGGTGGCTCACACGCTCATCACTGCAGCGCCAACATCATGTGGGTGCTGGCTCTAGACTCTGCTACTCCACTTGTGATCTAGCTCCTTGCTTATGGCTGGGAAAGAAGTGGAGGATGGCCCTAATTCTTGGGCCCCTGCACCACGTAAGGGACCTGGAAGAAGCTCTGGCTTCAGACGTGCTCAGCTGCAGCAGTCCTGGCCGTTTGGAGGGTGAACCAGTAGGTGGAAGACCTCTGCCTCTACTTTTCTCTAATTCTGCCTTTCAAATAAATATGTAAATCCTAAAAAAGAAAGAAGACCTGAAGTGCTCAGCAAGGGCCTTCACTACACCCACAGTAGTAGCAGCTCCAGCACTAAAAGGACGGTCCATGTGAGTCTAGGCGCCGGCGCAGCGGGGCAGAGCACACCCCAACATGAAGTACGTGGGGTGCACAGGTGGGCCCCGCTGGCATTGAACCAGCACCAGTATTTTGGACATGTTGGTTACATGTTGGCTATTAAAAAATATTTATTTTACTTATTTGAAATTTGAAAGGTTAGAGTCTTTCTATCCACTGGTTCACCCGCCCATGGTTGCAATGGCTTGGGCCGGGCTAGGTCAAAGTCAGGAGCCTGGCAATCCACGGAGGTCTCTCACACAGGTGACAGGAGCCCAAGCACTTGGGCTGTCGGCTGCCACTCTCAGGTGCACCAGCAGGGAGCTGGACGGGAAGTGGAGCAGCTGGGACCCGAACTGGTGGTCACAGGGAACAGGCTGTAGCGTAACCCAGTGAGCCTCAACACTGGCTGTTCTGTCCTCTCAACCAGGCACCAGGAGAGCAGTGAGTGCGTCTCCTCGCTCCTCCGGTCCTGGAGTCCCAGGTGGAAGGGTCCCAGGGCTAAGCTGGGCAAGCACAGCGGAGCCAGCGGCCATGCCACTCTGAGGGTGAGGCGGCAGTTCTCAGAGCCACCTGGTGGAGGCGCGCTAACATCAGCACCCCCTTGGCCTGTGGCTAATGTGAAAGAGGGAGCCCGCGGTGTGGCACACTGAAGCTACCACTCACGGAGCGACTGGCCCAGTCTCCACTGTGACAGCTGCAGGTGAGCCAGCACTGGGGGTCTCTCTGTCACTGTATCAAACAAACAAATAAAGTATTTAACAATAAAAAAAATGAAAAAAAAAAAAGAACTTGAATGAGAAGCTGCTGTCAAGAAAAAAAAGCTGAAGAATACTACTTAAACAACAAGAAAAGCACTTAGGGAAAACAAGAAAAATCTTAAAGCTTTTCAGGACAAAGCATTTGAACTCTGAACTAGCCTTGAGATGAACGGACTTAAGTCTTTTTTAAAAGAAAAGATCTATTTTTATTAAAAGGGAGATTTACAGAGAGGAAAGACGGGGAAAGGTTTTCAGTCTGCTACTTCACTCTTCCAAATGCCTGTGATGGCCAGAGCTGAGCTGAGCTGAGGCCACGAGCACTTCCGGGCTCCCCCACATGGATGCAGGTGCCCAGGCACTTGGGCCATCTTTTGCTGCTCTCCCAGACTACAAGTAGGGAACTGGATCAGAAGTGGAGCAGCCAGAATATGAACTGGTGCCCATAGGGGATGCCAGTGCTTGCAGGTGGAGAATTAGCCTGTAGAGCCACCATGCTAGCCCGGAGATCCATAGACATTTAAAAAAATTTTTTTTTGTTTATTTTATTGGAAAGTCAGATATACAGAGGAGGAGAGACAGAAAGGAAGATCTTCTGTCCTTAGATTCATTCGTCAAGTGGCTGCAGTGGCCAGAGCTGAAGCAATCCGAACCTAGGAGCCAGGAGCTTCCACTGGGTCTCCCACGTGGGTGCAGGGTCCCAAGGCTTTGGGCTGTCCTCTACTGCTCTCCTAGGCCACAAGCAGGGAGCTGGATGGGAAGTGGAGCAGCCGGGATTAGAACCGGAGCCCATGTGGGATCCCGGAGAGTGCAAGGAAGGGCTTTAGCCACTAGGCTACCGTGCTAGGTTCTAGCCTTAATTTTTAAATTTTTTTTTTTAAAGATTTCTACTGGAAAGCAGATTTACAGAGGCGCCCCCACTCCTGCGCTCTGTGCCATGCTGTCTGCTTCAGTGTGAACCGTGGACACGAGTGAGGAGGAGCTGCGCCTGGTGAGGGGCCCCGCGGAGCACCGAGGCAGGGCCCAGAGCTCACAGTGCTTAGCCAGGAAATGGCAGCACTGGCCCTCGCAGCCGGTCTCCACGCTGGCTCTGCCGGGCAGCCACTGCCGCTTGGGACCCCGGCGCCCTGTCGGAGTGCTGGCTTGAGGCCAGCTGCTCCGTTTGGGGTCCCGCTTCCTGCTGCTGGACCCTCGGGGCTTACATGGCAACTCCAGGGGGAGTTTCTGGCTCCTTGCTCTGTCTGGCCCAGATCTAGCTACTGCAGCCGTTTGGGGATGTGAACCAGTGGATGAAGAGCTCTCTCTGATGCACAAATGATTAAATATGGTTTAAATTATAGTTATAAACTCAAGGAGAGGAATTCCTGCGTCAGTTTGCGTCTCAGATGCTCCACTTCCTAGCGGTGGAGTGGGACGGCGCGTCCCCACGGGGAGGCCCTGGTGCAGGTGCGGGCGTGGCCACTGGGGCAGGGAACCGAGTGCTTCTCTCTGCAACACTTTCAACACGGATATATACGTGCGCAAGTTTGTGTATACACAGATTTTAAACAACAGTGGTCCCTTGGAGCAGGCGTGCAGCAAGCGAAGCCTAGCAACCCCAAAGAGCCCAACACCCCCCACATGAGCCCTGCCTGGAAGAGCTGGGCCTGAGGGACAGCGCCCTGGGAAGCGGGAACTGGACGCCCGGTGCTGGCCTCGGCTAAAGCAGCACGCCCGCGGCTGCCCCCGCTCTCCCATCGCGGCAGGGCGTCTTCCTTGGCCTGCAGGCCTGGACCAGGTCTGCGGAGGACACTGCGGCCCACACGCAGGTGCAGGCGCCGGAACCACGTCCCTCCCGCGCGGCCCTTGTGCTCAGGGACGCGCACACGCCTGCCTTCCCCGCCGCCCTCCCCTCAGAACCTGGCGTGAAGCCGGACAGGAGCCCCACCGCGGCTCTGTGTACGCCACGTGCTGAGGAACATCCGTCCTACTTTTGCCTGAAGCGCGCCAAGCCCAGAGCAGCCGGGAAAGGGCTTCGAGAAACTTCTCGAACTGAGTTTCGGCGGTCACAGGTGCCAGCTTTCCCGGCAGGCCTTGCGTGGGGGAGCTGGGGGAGGGGCAGAAGCTCCCAGCAGTCCTTGCGCGCAGGCCCGAGTAGGAGCACATGGCTCTGGCGTGGTGGGTGGCATAGCACGCCCGCTCCGCCTGCCGCAGTCATGGTGCACTCTGATTGGAGGAACTCATGAGGCGGGGCGGGACGAGTGGGGAGGGCCGGCTGCAGCAGTGCGCTGATTGGGCGGTTTCTGCAGGGGGCGGGGCGCCGGGCTGGTCGCGCTGCGCAGGCGCGTTGCCGGTGTCGCGGTTCCCGCGCTCGGAGCGGAGCAGGCGGTTGAGGAGGCGGCGTCGCGGCAAGCATGCTGCGCAAGCTCACCGTGGACCAGATCAACGACTGGTTCACCATCGGCAAGACCGTGACGGATGTGGAGCTGCTGGGCGCGCCGCCCGCCTTCCCGGCCGAGGCGCCGCGCCGGGACGCCGGCCCGAGCCCGGTGCCCGCGGGGCCGGCGGCGTGTACAAGGTGGGCCTGGGCCGGCGGGCAGCGGCCTGAGCCCCCAGGAGTGGGTCGGCTCCGCGGAGGCGCCCGCCCCGGCCTCGCTGCTTCCCGCAGTGCCGGGCTGCTCCCTCCGCCCCGCTTTCTGTTCACCCCAAAGTGTGTGGGAGCAGAAGGCCAGAAAGTGAGGCGAGGCGAGGCGAGGCGGGGGTCCAGCAGGGCTCCCTGTGGGCTCCCCGGCTAGCAGGGTTAGGCCGGGCACAAGTCAGGGAACGTTTTAGTTTTTAAGGTTCTTGTTTATTTGATTTCTCAATGCTTTAATAAGTTTTTTACATTTTTGATGATGCTCTCATAGTTGAGAAAGGATGCATGCGCGTGTGGACCACTGGTCCGGATGGGAGAATTGAATGAGACAACGGCCTCCAGTCTCCTCTTTTCTTGCTGTACCTGGGAGAAGTGGGGAGTGATGGGGAGAGGGCTGCTCCCAGCAGTCCGACCACCCCCCACCGGGTTCCTAAGTATGCCACTGTGCTACTATTTGGCCAGCCCTGGCTGGTCAGCCCCCAGAGCCAGCCCACACACCTGCCTGGTCAGCCCCCAGAGCCAGCCCGCACACCTGCCAACAGATGAAGCAGCCCTGCCCAGCCTGACCAACACCCAGCCGTCACCTGCTCACCCAACACCTGCTCACCATTAGGGGACTTCTCCAAGCCCCCCTCCACCAGGCCCATGCCCAGACTCTGGTCTCACGCATGCCCGTGGGTGGTAGGCCTTAACTGGTGGTATGCCCCCTAGTCTTGGCCTTTGTGCTGGTGGGTGTTGGGACTCGGCCTGTCCCACGCCTGGTTCTTGGGTGTGCCTGCAGGTGCTACAGGCTGTTCGCAAGCCCAGCACCGAGGAGCGTTGACATGTTCCGTGGTCATGCCGAGCTTGGCATGTCACCACCTGTGGTCCTCAAGCAAACTAGCAGTCCCGCAGGGGTGAGCCCACAGAATCTGCGCCCAGACCTAGCTGTCTCACATGCTGGCTGGTGTCATGGCCCAGTCTGACATGGTCCACCCCCTGCCCCAACACTGGTGGGTTCTGTGGTCGAGCCCTGCCAGGCAGGTCCCCAGCCATAGTTTTAGTGTGAGCTGGTAGGCAGTGGTCAAAACCAACAAGTCCAGCTCAGATCTCCCACGTGGGCAGGTGTGTTGGTTTGGCCCCCAAAGATTTTCTGGTTTGCTTTCTGCAAACCACCAGGTCTCAGCCTCCTCATTTACCTGCTAGTGCAGTATCCCGGTCGGTGGGAGTCCCCCAAGAGTCACCCACTTACCTGTCACACATCTGTCACCTGTCACCTTCCTCCCTCCCACACGTCTCCAGACCTGCTTCCCTGAGCAACCCGGCCCCCGTGTCCGGGAGCTGATACCATGGCTGGGCCTCTGGTGGTGTGCCGTGCCAGCCTGGGGCCTACACACACACTCCAGCATGGGTCCCCAGAGCCTGTCTGCCAAGCTGCTGGCGTCTTCCCGCCCCACATACCTTTAAAAATGCTGGCACACGTATAGTTAAAATAACACAGGTTTGGCATCACCAGGCCAGTATGCCTGCCAGCTGCGAACTAGCTCTGTCCCAGCAGTGGAACACTGAACTTGGCACAAGGCAACCTAGGCGGCTGCCTGTCCCTGGAGCCTTTTTTTTTCCCCCTAAAGGTTTGTTTTTATTCGAAAGACAGATTGCAGAGGAGAGGTGTAGATCTTCCACCTGCTGGGTCACTCCCCAAGGGGCCACAACAACTGGAGCTGAGCTGACCCAGTGCCAGGAGCCTCTTCTGGGTCTCCCATGCAGGCGCAGGGTCCCAGACGTTGGGCCATCCTCGACTGCTTTCCCAGGCCACAAGCAGGAAACTGGATGGAAAATGGAGCAGTCAGGATACGAACCAGTGTCCATATGGGATCCCGGCATGTGCAGGGCGAGGACTTTAGCTGCTAGGCTACCACACTGGGCCACTATTTTTATTTTTAAAGATATATTTACTTACATTGAAAGAATTGCAGAAACAGTGATCTTGCATCTGATAGTTCACGCCTCCAAATGGCTGCAGTGGCCAGGTCTGGGCCTGACCCAGGCAGGAGCAGAAGCTTCTGCGTCTCTGTGGCTGCAGGGACCCAAATACTTGGGCTGTACTCTGCTGCTTTCCCAGGCATATTAGCTGCATGGGAAGCAGAGCAGCCTGGACTCAACCTGGCCCCTGTGTGGGATGTGTCAGTGCAGGGAGCGGCTTTACCTGCTGCATTACCGTCCCCTAAGCAACAGGACGAGCCAAGGCTGTGGGAGTCACGGGCTTGGGAAGGGCATGCTGGGAACTGGAGTGTGTGGACCCTGACAGGTCTGTTGGCTGTGACTGCGAGCAGCCTGGAGTTGGGGGTGATCTGGCTGAAGTGGCACGTGTGGGGGTCAGGGCTTTGAGACATGGAGGCCCCGGGCCTCAGCAGGGGTTTGGGCGGAGGTGGCTAGTAGGGAGCTGTGCGGAGGGCCAGGGGCAGGCTGGGGAGGGCCCCGACTCCCAGAGCAGCTGCTGGCGGAGGGCCTGTGTGTGAGCACCTTAGTGTTTGGTATGACCGCCTTCCCTGGGGGAGGGCTTGGTGAGGGTCTGCAGGGGCTCAGAGGGCGGGTGAGCGGCCTTGGTGGACCACAGGTCTCCCTCTGGCAGAACTGCTGCTCAGGCCACGGTGGCCCTGCAGGCATGGCCCTGGGGGGAGCGTGTGTGCAGGCAGCCGAGTGCCAGTACAAGCAGCAGTGTGGCATGGCTGGATCAGGGACAGCTGGAATGTGATGGGGCGACCAAGAAGGGTGAACGAGAAGAGAAGGAAGGCTCTTTTTGGAGTGTATGTTTAGTTCTAGTCTTGGGTTTCTTTTCTTTCTTATTTTTATCTTTTTCTGTTTTAGATGAAGGGTAAGCAGCACCCAGACACAGTGGTTCGGTTTTTGGATAGTTAAGGCTAGCCTTTTAGCAAGAAGTCTAACTCAGACATAGTGTCCTACTTGCATTTTTGTCGGACAAGATTTTCTTCTTTCTACTTATAAACGTTCCCTCCCTGTGTCCCCAACAGCCAGGGCTGGACAAGGCTGAAGATGCTCTGGGCCCCCCCTCCCTGACCCTCCCCCGCCCTGTGTGTTTGAGCCATCAGCTGCACCTCCAGGCTGGGCCTCAGAAGGAACCAGGGGTTAGGAGGGGTGCCAGGACTGGCCCGGGCCCCCGAGGGAAGGTGGGGAGTCTTCTCTCTGGTGGAGGGGTGCCAGGACTGGCCTGGGCCCCCGAGGGAAGGTGGGGAGTCTTCTCATAGGTTCCTGCTGTCCCATGTGAATATAAGACAGATTTAAGTTAAACGTCAGCATTGCATGCTTTCTCAGAGTAGCAATTGCTGTTGCTATGCCAGTCCATATTGTAGAGCTTTCTTTTATTATACTTCTATTTAACATTAAAATTATGGTCAAAATTAAAAATCTGCTCAAACTGTACCTGAGTGTTGAGAGCGAGTCCTCCTGTCCCCACCACCACCATGGTCCCTTTGACCTGTCCCTGCTGGCAGTGAGGGTCACAGAATGGGCTGGGGGCATCATTTCAGTGTTTATAAAGCTGAGAGACACAATAATCATTTTATTCTATTTTATTTTATTATCATTTTATTTATATAGCTTTTTGTTAGAATAAAAGCCAAAGTTAACTTTGTCCCACATAGGCTTGTCAGATTTTATATTGAATGAGATTGTCTTGGTTTTTGAGAGAGGTGTTTGAGATTTAATACTTCAAAACTTTTTAAAATATTAGGAAACATTTTAGTTAAAAATCTGTTCAATGAAAACATAGCATGTTTAGTTGTCTGATAAAGGAAGGCTTTGAAACAGGCCGACTTGTGACTTTGTAACAGATTCCGTTGCCTTGCTTACCCTGAAGGCTTCTAGTTGGATTCAGAGAGCTGTGGGGCAAACTCGGGTGGGGGTGGGGGGCTTCGCCCACCTGCTGCTAACGGGGTGGGTTCCATACTCGATGGGTGAGAGCTGGGAACCTGCTGTGGGAGTTTCTGTCAACGTAGCTGGAAATGGTGGGTATTTCCTGCCCGCCCGGGCCCCAGGCCCCTTCCCCGGGAGCGGCCAGGGGAGCTGGCGGGCAGCCAGTCCTGCAGGCCGGCCGGGGACCCCGGGGCTGGTCCCCGCGCTCTGCACCGCTCACCGAGTCTTTGAGCACTTGCTTGAAGATGTAGACTACTTCGCATGGCAGCGCATCGTTTTCTGCCAAAATTTCTCGAAATCTAGGGGAATGGGTAATGGACATTCAGAAACGTTTCGGTGGTTTGCCTGGTTTTCTGGTAAGAGCTGTGACTGAGTTAAAGGTTTCCTGCAGGCACGATGCCGGCAGAGATTTCTGGGTGGCATGTGGGGGATCTTAGCAGCAGTGCTTGCATGGTTAGGAGCTCCCCGGGCATAGCAGGCGAGGGACACAGCAGCCGGGCTCTGCCTGCTGTGCTGACCCTGCGGGGCGGCGTTACCTGCTGAGCACAGCTCTGGTCTGGCCGGGCTGTACTCGGGCGCACAGGGCCTCCAGTTGTCTCCGCTCAGTGGCTGGGATGCTTGCCTGAGGATTCCGGTAGCTTTGTGGCCAGCTGTGGTCTGTGCCTGCTTTTTTCACTTTCTGCTCGCCCTCGATCTCTTGCATGAACCTTTCTCGTTCCCTCAGGTGCCACGTGAGCTCCTGAAGCAGCGTCTGTGTGGCCACCTGCGAGCCAGCCTTGACCGCCGTGGTCTTGGGCCACTTCATCCAGCCAAAGAGTGGCATTTGCTGTGGCTTCTTACTCACTCGCAGTTACAATTCTGATGAGCAAATAGGTTGTTTACAACAAAGTGCTGGACAAGCACGTGGAGCTTTCTGTGCAGGTAACAACAAAGTTAGGACATGGACTAAATTGTAACCAGATTGGTGCCAAAATCCAAGCATTGCAAATACTTCTATGTAGCTTAGCAGAAATTGAGCACATGGAGTGGGAGAACATCTGGATGGAGTTTCTAAAACAGCTCACTGAAAGTTCCTGGGCAGCTTTACCTGTCAACATGTCTGCAGACATCCTGGGCACCGAAGCTTGGCATGGAAAGCTAACACTTACCCCTGAGATGCCGGCTCTGCTGCAGGGTGCTGGCGCTGGGCCCGCGGGGCCTTGCCGCTCCTGCAGACGTGTCCTCTGCTGGGGCAAGAGCCGCTGTGTGCTCCCACGGAGGCCGTGCCGGGAACAAGCCGCTTCCCGTGTCAGCAGTGAGGCTGTGACGTCTTCGTTTGCAGGGTGCTCAGTAAGCTCGAGGAAATGACAGAATAACCCAGTGTTTCGTCTTCATGGCTTCTGTGACGGTCTCCCTTTGAATGCGGCCGTGTGCGTGGAGAAGGTGCCGGCAGCTGTGGATGCTGCTGCTGAAGGGTTTGGATGTGGTTCTGGCAAGGCAGTGGGAGCAGCTGGCTGAGGCACCCCTGCCGCTCCGGCTGCAGTGCAGCCTGTCGCCTGATGTGCTGCTGGGCTGTGTGTCGCTCGAGGTCACAGTTTATGCTGCATTTTTGTGCCTGTAGAGCTCTAAAAATAGCCATGTTGCTTTTATTCTTCAGCTTAACTCTCAGGTCATTTAGAAGCCAGGTCACTGTCCCCTCTAATGAAAGCAGGAAAAAGAGATGTGTCTTGACGGCCTGCAAGGCGTGTGCTCTGAGCAAATAGGAAAGCAAGGGCACGTGGTCATGCGTGAAATAGCAAGCGGTACACTCTGTATTCTGTTTGTTTTGTCTGCAATGGCCATGGATTTTCTGTATTTAAAAAATGTGCTAATAAAAAAGTGTGCTGCTGGAACACATTATAAGCACTCAAATATGTTGCTTGAAAATGTCCTGAGTGTAAGGACGGTGGTGAGGGCAGTGGAGAAGCGTGCTCCGTGCTCCGTCCCAGCGGAGCCGGATGTCCGCTGCCATCACTGAGGAAAACAAGGGAAGTGGCTCTGGGCAGGCAGAGGGGCAGTCATGTTCCTGTGACCTGGAGATCTCAGGCTGCTCACACACTGTCTCCGCAGGGCCCGCGGCCAGCCGTGCTCCGAGGAGGAATACATCAACCAGTACAGACAGCTGGAGGCTCAGGAGCTGCACGTGCGGGCTCACCCAGCCACGGGGCCAGGTACGCACGTGTCCTCCCCTCGGCAGGAGGTGAGGGCTCACCCAGCCACGGGGCCAGGTACGCACGTGTCCTCCCCTCGGCAGGAGGTGAGGGCTCACCCAGCCACGGGGCCAGGTACGCACGTGTCCTCCCCTCGGCAGGAGGTGAGGGCTCACCCAGCCACGGGGCCAGGTACGCACGTGTCCTCCCCTCGGCAGGAGGTGAGCCCACAGTGCTGGCATGCTGGGGCCTCCTTTGGACATGACTCGGCGGCACGCTGAAGTCTCTGATTTCTGTGTATTAAACACGGTTCCTAAGCAGTCAGTTCTTGGAAGACCCTTCATCATGGCCCTTCACCTCACTACGAAGTAAAACATTGAACATTTTTGTTTTTGTTTTGTTTAAAAACTTAATGTAGGGCCTGGCGACTAAATCCTTTCCTTGCATGTGCCAGGATCCCACACAGGTGTGTGTTCGTGTCCTGGCTGCTCCAGTTCCCGTCCAGTTCCCTGCTTATGGCCTCGGAAAGCAGTCAATGACGGGCCAAGGCCTTGGGACCCTGACCCACATGGGAGGCCTGGAAGAGCCTCCTGGCTCCTGGCTTCGGATCGGTTCAGCTCGCGGTTTCCTTCTCCCCTTTCCCCGATATGGCTGAGGCAGCCTTGCGGTTGTTTGTGGGCCGGTCCTGGCACTGCTCCTGAGAAGGCCAGGGTAGGAGTGGGCAGGAAAGGGTCGTCTGACAGCCCGTTACATCCTCCCACGCAGCTGTCAGTGTGTGTGCACCCTTGGAACAGAGGAGTGACGTGTATGGAGTGACCGCTCTCCCTGCTGGTCCCGGACGGGTGGAAGTCTCCTGGCAGCAGGCCCTTTGCCATCTGGGCACGAGAGGGTCACGTGTGGTGCTGGCGCCTGGGAAGTGCATTGTGTCAGGAGCTAGGCTGGACTCGGGTACCTGGAGGCTTTGTAGGGTGGAAGGGACTTGGTGCCTGAGTGGCCCCTTGCAGGCAGCTGGATGCAGACTTGTGCCTGTGGCCCAGAGCACCTTTCCTTGTTCTGGCATAGATTTGTGCCTGAAACTGCACATGGGGAGGCCTTTGGCCCCCAGTGCTTGTCAGGGACTGAGCTGCTGGTGACCTGGGCTCTCCCTTGTAGGCTGTCCTCTGCTGTGTGGCACAGAGGGTTCATCTGGAGAGAGGGTGTGCTGAGTGTGGGCTCTTGGGGCAGGCCCTGGTCTCTGCTGGGGAAGTTGACGGTCAAAAGTCACTGTGGGACGGGATGGGTGTGGAGGCCGTGTGCAGAGGCTGAAGGTGGGAGAAGGCCTGATGGCTGTGGCCTTGTATTCCGGAGGAGGGGCTGCCTTGCTGGGGAGTAGGGCTAGGCGGAGGAGGGGGCTACACGAGGTCCACTACAGTTGGGCAGGCCCAAGCGTGGCCCAGCTTCCAGAGGCTAAAGCCTCTTGCCAGGTCCCTTCATGGTCGAGGACTTTGCAGCTGCAAGCCAGGGGTCTGCAGGGGGTGGATCGCCCAGGTAGACCCCTGGGAAAGATGGAGTTCCTGTGACAAGGAAAGAGAGAATGAGGTCAGCCATGGAGGCCCTGGTTGGAGTGAGGAGAGGGAGAAGCTCAGAGCCCAGGAAAGCTGGAGCTGCTAGGGGCGGGCTGCAGGGGCAAGTCCCTCCCTTGGGCCAGGCTCGGGCTGGGAACCAGACATTGCATCCAGCTCTCCCAGGTGCTGGAGCCAGCCCGTCTTCCCGACAGGAAGCTGTGTGAGACGCAGAGCAGCCCCAGGCAGCACCTTCCTGAACACTGGGGTAGGGTTAAGTCGGTAATGTGGCAGTTAAGCTTGTTCTGCAAAATTCCTAATGTGCAACTTTGACGATGCATGTGATGGGGTGCTCGTCCCTACTCCCTGAGGGAGCCCTGAGCTGATGGTGGGGGTGGGCAGGGCAGGGCAGGGAGGAGGCCCAGTGGTTCCGTGATCAATTAATAACCTGGAGTGAAGAGCTAAGGAGAGTGGAAGAGCACGTTGGAGCTGGAAGGATTTCCCGTGCCACTTTTGGACTTGACTTTGTCCCTGAGGAGTTTGTTGGTCTACCTGAAGTTACCTTTGACAGTTCTGTCTCCTCCCACCCCCGTGCAGGGTGTGTGGGGAGGACTTTGTGTGTGGCTGCGACAGCAGTGGCCCAGAAATGTCAGCTTGTGTTCAGTGCCACTGGCAGGCAACAGCCTCTGCAGTGGGCAGTCACGCAGCATGGCCTGACGGCTGGCGTGTATCCACCAAGGGTGTGCGCCTGCTAGGAGCCTAGCGGAGTGGTGCTCAGCAGGTGCCTGTCCTCCGGGGGGACCTTTGTCTGCCCTCTGCTATAGTCCACTCTGTCCCTGGCTAGCCCTGGGAGCCCTCCTTGGCCAGGGCTGTGGGTTCTGCTCCCTCCACACAGTGCCTCCTTGGGAGATCCAGCCGCAGGGCCTGCCTCACACAGGGTGAGCGGAGCAGCCGTGAGAGAGCTGGATTCTGCCCTGGCAGGAGCCCTGTCTGCCCCGGGAGCTGCTGCGCTGGGGTCTGGCCAGAGGCGGCACCTCTGTCAGTGCATTCTGAGCAAGTCCTAGACTCGCTGTATGCATGTTGTATGTACGTATGTTGCTGTATGTGCTTAGGCTAGATAGGCCAGTGAGCTGAGTGTAGGGATGCTCCCAGGGGACGGCAGCAGAGGAGGCACCAGGCTGGGAACGGACGGCTGGCTGGAGGATACCCCGAGACTGAGGAGAGAGGTGGGGGGCTTGAGTTTGCTTGTGGTTTATTTTTTTCCTTAAGATTGATTTATTTATTGAGTGTACTGGTTCGTTGCCCAGAAGGCCATGATGGCCAGTGCTGAGCCGGAGCACCCCCCGCCGCGGGTGCGCGGCAAGCACTCAGGATGCCTCGCCCTGCTCTCTGAGGCCCCGAGTAGGGGCTGGGTGGGAGTGAGCAGTGGGGACACAGCCGGTGGGGAGCCAGCCCTGCACATGCTAGCTTTATCCTCTGCATCACTTGTTTGTTTTGGAAATAAAATGTACTTCTTGTGGAAGTTCGTGTCCAAAAATTCTGGTACTTGTGACCCTTCCAAGTGATGAACAATCTGGAATTTGGCACGGCTAGGTGTTTCCACGAAGAAGTCCAGAGGGATCACGCCCGCCGGCCGTGGCCAGAACTCGCCCTTAGCCACCTGGAGCAGGGTGAAGCGCCCCTGCTGTGTAGCCTCGCACAGTTGAAACAGTGTTTATTAACTTTTATTTGAAAGACTACAGGGAGAGACTCTTCCATCTGCTGTTTCACTCCCCAGAAGGCTGCAGCCACTGCGCTGGGCCAGTCCAAGGTCAGGAACCTGGAGGCTTTTACTGGGTCTCCTGTGGGTGCCCTGGCCCAAGCACTTGCACCATCCTCTGCTATTTTCCAAAACCATTGGTAGGGAGCTGGATCAGAAGTGGATCAGCCCGGACTCGAACTGGCACCCATATGGGATGCTGGCACAGTAGCTGGAGGTTTCACTTACTACACTGTGGCACTGGTAATTTATTCATTTGAAAAGTAGAATTAACAGAGCAAAAATTTTTCATCTCCTGGTTTGCTTCTCAAATGTGTGCCACCGCCAGGGTTGGGACAGCCTGGAATTGCATTTATGTTTTCCAAGTAGCAGAGACCCTGGTGTTTGGTCATCCTGTGCTGCGCTCCCAGGTGCGTTAGCAGAACGCTGGATCAGAAGTGGAGCAGCTGGGGCTCAGGTCTGCCTCTGTGTGAGCTGCAGGTGTTGCAGGCCACAGCTTATTAACCCACTGTGGCGGAACGCTGGCTCCCTGGGCCTGTTTATTTGTTGCTGGTGCTAATTTGTTTTTGTGGCAAGGAATGGACACTTAAGCTGATGCACATTCAAGGGGCTGTTTTCTCTTCAAGTTGATAGGTCATACCTTCAGTCTGGTGTGGGCCTGCTGTGCATGGCTGCTTGAGGGGGACGGGTGAGTGGTTTGTGCAGGTGCTGGGCGAGCAGACCCATGCAGGTGTCCCTGGGGGTGGTTGTCTTCATGTAGTAAGATATAGCATCACATTGATTTGTTTTGTCTGAATCTAGGTCGAAGGCCGCCTTTGAGTAAAGCGAGCAGTGTGACGTGCGTGCCTGAGACGACATACAAGTACCCGGATCTGCCCATCAACCGGTATAAGGAAGAGGTACGTGCCTGCTGGATCACCCTCGGTACCGGAGCAGGAAGAGCCTCCGTCTGCCAGAGGAGATGGGCAGCGGGCTCCTGAGAGGATCTGATGCTGAAAACACTCCCATCCCCTTCTGGAAGTAAAATGATTGTGCTAGATTACTTTAAAAGAAAATTTTATTTTTATTTGAAAGGCAGAAGCAGAGAATCTTCCATCTGCTCATTTACTCTTCAAATGACTGCAACAGCCTGTGTGGGACCAGACCACAGCCAGGAGCCAGGAGCCTCTTCCAGGTCTCCCACACAGATGTAGGGTCCCAAGACTTTGGGCCCTCTTCCTCTGCTTTCCCAGGCCACAAGCAGGGAGCTGGATGGGAAGTGGGGCAGTTGAGACACGAACCAGTGCCCACATGGAGTGCCAGTGCCTTCAGGTGAAGGATCAGCCAGTGGAGCCCCATCATAGTGTACTGCACTCTTGACTTAGACTTTGAAGGTGGGTGAGCTCAGCCGTGGCCTGCAGGGCCCTTGGGGCTGACCTGCGACTGAGGCTTATGACTTTTCTTCTCCCTGAATTTCCGTCTGTTTAGCCTTCACCTCAGCCTTCACGCCCAACACTGGGTGTTGCCCATGTCTAGGGCTTCCTTTCCTTGCCGTGTTTGGGTGCGGACACTCCCTGTCCCCAGGACAGCCTGTGTTGGGATGACGCAGCCCACACCCTATAGGGGCCTTGCTGTTGCCTTCTCTTTCCTGTCTGCTGACTGCTCCATGCTGTCAGTGGGGCCAGGCCGAGGGAGGGTGTTATGCTTCTGGTCGCTGCGTGTTCTTAGCATGGTCGTAAGGTCTTGGCTGCTTGCTGCTCTGCTGGTGGAAGAGATGGGGCAGACAGAAGCACAGCTGGGGTGGTGTGGTGCAGTGGGTAAGCCACCGCCTCGCATGTCTGTCCCCATCTGGGTGCCAGCCTGAGTGCCCTGCTGGTGCTCCGGGTGCTTGGGTTCCTGCCAGCTGGTGGGCCAGGCTGGGTCCTTGTCCTGCCAGCCAGGCTCAGCCATGAATTTAGAGCTCTCTCTGTTTTTAGTTTGATCTCTAGCTTTTTCACCCTGTCTTACGTTTTCTTTCCAAGATGGAATTACTTTAAATTCCATTTTCATTTTATTTGAGTCTTACAGCTTTATAGAATGACTACATGAATTGTTAGAGGCCACTATTCAGATCACCTTGTATCCTTTGCCCATATAATTGCTAGAAGGATAAAATACTTAAGTACAGTTAGGACATAGAGGGCCGAATGTAGGGGGAAGGAATCAGATTGAAATTTTATAATGCTTGATGTCAGGGCTGGAGCTGTGACGAGGTGGGTGAAGCTGCTGCTGGGAACACTTGACACCGTGGCAGAGTGCCGATCCTCGCGCTGGCGAGATGGCTCAGCTGCTAGTCCTCAGCCTTCAAGTGCCAGCTGCTCCTCTTCCCATCCAGCTCCCTGCTTACGGCCTGCGAAAGCAGTGGAGGACGACATAGGAGTTTGGCCCAACCCAGCCCCAGCTGTTGCAGCCATCTGAAGGATGAGTCTGTGGGCAGATCTCTTTCTCTGTGTGTCTCTGTTTCCTTCTTTGTCAATCAGCCTTTCTCATCAATCAGTCAATCAAAAAAGTAAATAAATGTAAGAAACCCCTCACATAATGTATAAATTAAAAAACTGAAATGTTTAAGAATGTGTTTAAGGGCCTGGCACAATGGCTCAATGGCTAAATCCTTACCTTGCCAGCACCAGCATCCTATGTTGGCGCTGGTTCATGTCCCAGCTGCTCCACTCTCCATCCAGCGCCCAGGAAAGCAGCAGAAGGTGGCCCAAGGCCCTGAGACCCTGCACTCACATGGGAAACCGAAAGGAAGCTCCTGGCTCCTGGCTTTAGATCAGCTCAGCTCTGGCTGGGGGACCATTTGGGGAGTGAACCAGCAGATCTTCTTTCCACAAAATCAATCTGTCTTTGTAATAATAATAATAAAAAAATCTTTTTCTCTCTTTATAATTTTAGATGATGTTTACATAGTAGCTCAGGGTAGGAAGGATCCAGGGTTAGGGAAAGTGGGTGTGATTATTGTTTCCAAGCTTTCTATTCTTCTTCCCATTTCTGTTGGGGGAGAAGCCATACCCAGCCTCCCCACCAGCCCACCAGCCCACCACCCCACCCCCTCACCCCCCAGTGTCCCGGATGGGGATGCCCACCTGACATCAGCTCAGTCCCTGCTACGGCAGGTGCTCGGGGGTCTGCCCAGGGTATGTGATGGTTCTGAAATGCTGTCAGTCTTGCTGGCCTGTGGATGAGGAATCCCTTTGAATGTCCACTGCTGACACAGGCGACCTTAGTCTCCATTCCCCCAGATGCTTGTGGTCATTGTTTGGGTAGTTGTCCATATGATCTGTTCTCCATTCCTTGTTATGGTACTAGATGTGCTCTGTAGGCCCCAATGGGCTGCCATGTCCTCCATGTGCATCATGGTCTGCCGCCCAGCACTCCATCCTCTACACTGAGGAGGACCAATTCTCACAGGTGGACCCATGGACCCCGGGCCAGGTGACCTGGGCCCCGCCAGACCCCCACACTGGGGCTCACGGACCCCTTACCCACTGTGCAGGCGGAGCGAAGGCCCTGGGCTAGGCGATGAGGGACCCACCAGAACCCCTGCCCCTGTGGCTCACGGACCCCTCACCCACTACGCAGGCAGAGAGAAGGTCCTGGGCCCTGCTGGACCCCTCTGCCTCCGGAGTTCCTGGAACTGGCACCCCCGTGCAGGCGGGCTCTGGGACCTGACATGCACTGTACACTGGGTGCTGAAGGACCCGGGCCAGGCGACTGAACTGCACTGGATCCCCCACCCCCAGGGCTCAAGGATCCAGCACCGACCTTAGAGATGGGCTGGGCCTAGCCAGACCCCTCTATGCCCAGGGTTCACACATCTTGCATCCACCACCCCCAGGCTGGCATGGCTTGTCTCACCTTGGCATTCACCAGCAGCTGGTTCAGCCTGGTTTGGTCTAGCCTTCCCTCAGTTCCAGCTCCTACTGGTTGGTGCCACAGCCTAGCCTTGCCCAATCAGTATCTCGTACAGGCCCTAATGTAAACTGGCTGGTGTTGTGGTGTGGTGTGCTGGTCCCTACTGTATCCCTTCCTGGTTCTCAGATCTGCCAGTGACCAGTACAACTGGCCCACCCCCAGACCTTACCCACTTGTTTCCATAGGGTTATATGTAGGTTTAGGCCTGATTTTTTTTTTTTTAACGGAGAGATTTTAACTAAGGCACAGAAACCCATGTTGAGAGTCTGTAGAAGGGCTGACCTACTGGGGAGGGTGGCTGTGGCCTTGGCTGCGGGTCCACAGGAGTCTGTGTGGGGAGGGTAGCTGTGGCCTTGGCTGCGGATCTGGAGGAGTCTGTATGGGGAGGGTGGCTGTGGCCTTGGCTGCGGAGGAGCCTGTGTGGGCAGGGTGGCTGTGGCCTTGGCTGTGGGTCTATAGGAGTCGGTCTCAGATGCAGCCCCTGCACGTGGCCTGTCTGCCTTGGGATGTGATGTGTAGATGATTGCCGTTAGCCTGGAGATGAGATCGGCTGTGAAGGACTTGCTAAGCAGGGTGGTAACGCTGGACCTTGGTGACTGTGAGCTTTAGAGATCTGCTCTCACTTCCAGGCCATTTCCCTAATAGAAAGCAACTCAGTGGTGATTGTGCATGGTGCCACGGGCAGCGGGAAGAGCACACAGCTCCCTCAGCACGTCCTGGACCACTGCCTCCAGCGCTCCACCTACTGCAACATCGCCGTCACGCAGCCGCGCAAGATCGGGGCCAGCAGCATCGCGCGGTGGATTAGCAAGGAGCGCTCCTGGACACTGGGCGGCCTGGTGGGTTACCAGGTGAGGCTAGAGTGCCCGGGCCGCGACAGCAGCGTGTGGCCTTCGCGATGAAACTAGACCACTTGTTTACAGGGTGAAAAAAACCAGAGAAACTTACCTTGAAAATACCTTTAGACTTCTGTGGTTGACTCTTGACTTTCAGAGTTTTAACCTTTGGTGTGTGACTGCATTCTAGAAGATGCCTTTGTGGGGTGTGACACTGGAGCCCCTCCTGCTGCCCGCGGTTCTCTGACTTTGCAAGTGCAGCCCTTTCTTGTCCCCTTTCTGACCTTGGAGCCCCCAGGACCTGAACCTGCCCCCTCCCCCACCCACACAGGTGGGGCTGGAGAAAGTAGCGACCGAAGACACCAAGTTACTGTACATGACCACGGGCGTCCTGCTGCAGAAGGTGGTGAGCGCCAAGAGCCTGGTGGAGTTCACACACATCTTCATCGATGAGGTGCGTGCCCGGCGTGGCTGTGCCCTGGCTGCAGGTATCAGAGCGTACTGTGTGCTGTGCCTGTCACCGCTTATTTTACTCAGGCTGTCCATTTTCTGTTTATTTTTTCAGGATTTATTTACTTATTTATTCAAAAGCCAGAGTTAGAGACAGTGACCGAGGTCTTCCTTTTTCTGGTCCCCCCGCAGATGACCAGGTGGACACTAGGGACCAGCACTTCCCTTGAGCCACGTGTGCCCGTGCGGGTATCGGGGCTCGGACACATGGAACGTCTGCCACTGCCGTTCCCAGGCAGGAACTAGTGCCTGTGTGGACTCTGCACCTCCGGTGGCAGCCTTACTCACTACGCCGCCACACAGCATTCAGCTTTCTGTTTTTATTCTCCACAGTGTGATGGGAGGTTAAGGATGTCAGATTCTTTGTAGAGAGTAGATTTGGCAGATGGCAGTTTAAGCCATGAGTGCACATGCGGGCACACGCGGGCACGCAGGACATGTACACATGGGCACAGACATGGGCACACGGGGCGTGCACATGTATACACACAGGTACATGGGTCATGCACACATACACACGGGCACATGGAATGTCACATGTCCATACACAGGTACGCAGGGCGTGCACACACACACAGGGCACACAGGGCATGCACATGTGCACACATGGGTACAAGGTCATGCACACATGTCCACGGGCACATGGGCATGCACATGTACCCTGCATGTGTGTGACGTGTGTCTGAGTGTGTATATGCTCGAGTGTGCGTGTGTGTGTGTTCTCTCAGTGGGAGTAGATGTCTAGAGAAGAGAGGAGATTTGAGGTTCACTGTTGTGGCTTAAAGGTCAAGCTGCTGCCTGCGTCGACAGCCCCCGACTCCTTTTCTCTGCTTCCCAGTTGACAGGAAGTGGCCCTGGAAGTGCATAGCTGCCGAGTGAAGCAATGGGCTGTTTGCTCAGTAGGCGCCTTTCCAGGGTGGGGCTTTGATTGCTGCCCTCATGCTTCTCTGTGATGGAGATCTCTGAGCCGCAGGCACTTGGTGAGCACGCCGCTTGCTGTTGGCCTGCAACTGCAGCCTTGCTCCGGCTCCCCTCATTTCCCAGGGCCAGGGCTGAACATCCCTGAGTGTGGCATGTGAGCAGCCTTCCCCAGGGTAGGTGCTGGCCGTGCTGGAGGAACGCTGGGGTTGCTTGTGGCCTTCACAGTGACCTGGAGGCAGGACGAGGTGTGTAGCCCTGCTGGGCCAGCAGACCCTGAGGGCCTGGATGACCCTGTGTGCTGGACAGCCCCGGCCACCCGAGCAGTGTGCTCAGCGGGGAGCTGACCTAACCCTCAGTCTTCAGGGCTGCGGCCAGGGCCTGTGCCCGCTCAGCCAGCCGTGAACTGGGTCCTCAGGGCTGCAGCCAGGGCCTGTGCCCGCTCAGCCACCGCTTGTGTCTTGCAGGTGCATGAGAGAACCGAGGAGATGGATTTCCTGCTCTTGGTGGTACGCAAACTTTTACGGACAAATTCACGTTTTGTGAAGGTAAATTAGACTTTGTGAGTAGCAAAAATGTTTTGTGTTCAGATGCTTTAGTTTTGTTTCTGAGCAGGTGCATTGGAAGCCAGTGCCTGCTTCAGAGGCACTGCCAGAGTTCTGGTTTGTCTGGAAGTTTCGTGAAGGGCTCTCGGTGACAGCTGAAGTGCAAGTGCTGCCTGCTATCAGGCTGCAGCTCAGCTCCCTTTTCTGTTTTCATTTCTTCTTTGTTTGAAAAACCAAGATTGACTTGTTTGAAAAGTAGAGTTACACAGTGAGAGACAGAGATCTCTGACGCACTGGTTTACTCCCCAGATGGCCGCAGCCAGGGCTGGGTCAGAGTTCTAGCTGGGTCTCGCCTGTGGGTGCAGGGCCCAAGCCCTGTCCCAGTGGATTAGCAGGGAGCTGGGGCTAGAATTGAACGGCCCGACTCCAGCCAGTGCTGCAGCCGTGGTGCACTGTGCCGTGTGTTCAGCCTTCTCCAGGCTGCGGACAGTGACACAGTTCTAGTTGAGCACATTGGGGCGCTGGCTGTGAGACCTGGCTGTTGGTTTCAGGGCATATGGGTGAATCTACAATCCAAGTTTAAAAAATAGCTCCAAAGTGTCCTGACATTTGGCAACGTACGTTCTCTGCCATGTTACAGGTGCCAGTGGTGAGTTAGGGAAGTCTTTAACTGGGGAACATTGTTACGTCTTGTTTGAGCAGAAAGGAGAGGTGTGAACCTGGCAGCAAGATTAATTATACACTTTTAGCGGCGAGCCTGGGCCAGCCCTGTGCGGGACGTAGGCGCTGAACTCTTGGGCAGGGGCAAGAGCAGCAAAGGCAGGCTGTCACGCAGCACTGATGGCTCTGCAGCACAGGACGCTCCGATGCTGCCTGTTGCCTGCCTGGACAGGATGTGCAGAACCAAGAGGGTCACACGCTGTTCTGACGGCCTCTCCGCAGCAGAACCTGGCGCGTACTTCCGGTGTTCTTACTGCTTGGGGTGACTGCAGAATGAACGAGACAATCTGGCTAGTTCATGCTTTTTGTGGATTCTTTTTTTTATTTTTTAAGATTTATTTGTTTTTGGGCCTGGTGGCGTAGCCTAGCGGCTAAAGTCCTCACCTTGAATGTGCTGGGATCCCATATGGGCACCAGTTCTAATTCCAGCAGCTCCACTTCCCATCCAGCTCCCTGCTTGTGGCCTGGGAAAGCAGTCGAGGATGGGCCAAAGCTTTGGGACCCTGCACCTGCGTGGGAGATCGGGAAGAGGTTCCTGGTTCCCAGCTTCGGACTGGCGCAGCACCAGCTGTTATGCTTACTTGGGGAGTGAATCATCGGACGGAAGATCTTCCTCTCTATCTCTCCTCCTCTCTGTATATCTGACTTTATAATAAAAATAAATAAATCTTTAAAAGAAAGATTTATTTGATTTTATTTCAGAGACAGCATTAAAGAGGAGAGCTGGAGTTCTTCCATCCGCTGGCTCACTCCCCAGTGGCTGCAGTAGCAGGAGCCCATCTGGGTCGGCCACGTGGGTGCAAGGGCCTGAACGTGGACCGTTCTCTGCTGCTTTCCCAAGCTGACAGCAGGGAGCTGGATGGGAAGTGGGGCAGCTGGGACTTGTACTGGTGCCTTTATGGCAGGCTGGTGCTGCCGGTGCAGGCTTAGCTTGATAAGCCATGACGCCAGCCTTTTATGGAATCCTAAAGCTGGCTTTGAAAGTTGTTCAACAATGAATTGGGGCCTTTCTTTGTTGTCAGTTTTGTAAAAGATTCATTAATTTGGAAGGCAGAGAGGGAGGGAAGAGAGAGAGAAATACGAATGAGTCTTCCATCGTCCATCCCACTTTCCTCAATGTCCCCACAGACAGGCCCTTTCGAGCCCACAGCGGGAGCCAGGACCGTTAGCTCCGCTGCCTCTCCTGAGCTCCGGCTGTCTCGGGCTGTCTCTGCGGGAGCATTAACAGGGGGCTGGGACTGAACTGACACGTACTAACAACCCGCTGTGACACAAAGAGGAGGAGAGACAGAGAGGAAGATCTTCTGTTTACTGGTTCACTCCCTAAGTGGCCGCAATAGCTGGAGCTGAGCCGATCCGGAGCCAGGAGCCAAGAGCCTCTTCCAGGTTTCCCATGCAGGTGCAGGGTCCCAAAGCTTTGGGCCGTCCTCTACTGCTTTCCCGGGCCACAAGCAGGAAGCTGGATGGGAAGTGGAACTGCCAGGATTAGAACTGGCACCCATATGGGATCCCGGCATGTTCAAGGTGAGGACTTGAGCCACTAGGCTACCATGCTGGGCCTCTTGACTTGTTTTTTAAAGTTAAGATAATGGCCTTTTAGTTTTTAGTGGTAATGAGAGTTAAGTGTGTTTATGGGTTTTAAAAACATTGGCTAAACTGCTGAAAGACAAAGATGAGGTGTTAAGTATTTTTCAAAAAAAGTTTATTTATTTATTTGAAAAACTTAAAGCACGGGAGAGATTGTCTGTTCACTGGTTCACTCCTGTAATAGCCTGGATCGGCCCAAGCTGAAGCAGGAGCCAGGAGCGTGAGTGCAGGGGTGCAACTACTCGGTCCATCTTCCACTGCATTCCCAGGCGCGTTGGCAGGGAGCTGGGCACACAGGTAGAACAGCTGGGTCTCAAACTGGCATCAGAGCCAGTGGCTTCACCCGCTGGGCCATGGTGCCGACCCTCCAAGGGAGAAGTCCTAGCACATTCGTGGTCACTGCATACAAGCAGTGGCATGTGGTGTGGGGTAGGAGTTACGCTTCTGCCTGTGACACTGGCACTTTACATGGGTGCTGGTTCAGATCCTTGCTGCTCCATTTCTGATCTTGCTCCCTGGTAATGTCCCTGGGAAAATAGCAGAGATGACCCAAGAACCTGGAGCCATACCTCTACGTAGGAGACCTGGGTGATGCCGCTGGCTCTGATTTGGCCCAGGCCTGGCAGTTGGAGCCATCTGGGTTGTGAAGCAGCAACTAAACACTGGAAGATCAAACTTTCTCGTTCTCTTGCTGTAACTCTGCCTTTCAGATAAACGGATCTTGAGGGGGAAAACCCACTCTTTAGGTGCTGGTGCTTGGGTCAGATAATCAGGCCGAGGTCTTGGTGACTGTGTTTCCCCTGCCTCCACGTGCTGCCCTGAGGTTGCCCTGCCCTGCCCACCTAGACCTTGCAGGCCACTGGTGCCAGCAGAGGGCAGTGCTGAGTGTTTGCCATTGAGGGCTGGGTGTTGCACAGAGCCCAGCCCCACCAGGCCTGCTGTCCTGGTCAGAGGCTGTCGCTGGAATGCAGAGCGTCCTTTGGCCAGCGTTCTTCCAGGCCCTACTCCCGTCTCAGTCCAGCTGTGTCTTTTGGGCCCTACGTCTTCCCTGGCACAGCACTGACCGTTGCCAAGCTTACCTTGCAGCCTTCCGAGCAGGTACAGTAGGTGCCGGCAACCACTTGGGCCTTGTCCACCCAGCACTGGGCGCCTGCTGCCCGGGGACAGCTGCTGCCCGGGGACAGCTCCCTCTGAGGCAGTTGGCGGGCCATGGCTGTTGGTCCCATCTCCCTGCTCTGTGCTCCCCAGTGCTGTCAGCTGTCTCCTGCCCAGCCTGACGTGGGCCTGGCCCGGGTTTTGGGTCAGAGCCTGGCTTCTCAGGGGTCTCTTCTGCCTTTCATTGTTAACTCCTTTATTTTTCTAAGGCATGTCATCTTGTGATTTTAAAAAAATCTATTAAAATTTTCCTTTAAATTTTTGCTTATTTTGAAATTAAGAGATAGCTACAGAAAACTATTGTGGGGCTCAGGTTGAAGCCAGGGTCGGGAACTCAGGGGGCTCCCGGTGCTCAGGCCATCCCTGGCCGCCATCTAGGGTGGTTAGCAGGAGGCTGACATGGGGCGGGTGCCCAGTGGACTCTGGACTGGCTGGATATGTACAGTCTCCCTGAGTGAGGTTGTTGGGAGATGGTCAAAGTTGGCAGGATAGCATTCTTTATGCTGCAGAAGTTTGTATCAGAGATTGGGTCGAGGGATTTGCTGGACCATCTCCAAAGTCGCCAAATGCGGCAGGCGGGCGGCAGCAGGCAAACCGGTGCTCCTCCTGCAGGTGGTCCTCATGTCCGCCACCATCAACTGCCAAGAGTTCGCCGACTACTTCGCTGTACCCGTGCAGAACAAGATGAACCCTGCCTACGTGCTGGAGGTGGAAGGCAAGCCGCACTCGATCGAGGAGCTCTACCTGGACGACCTGGAGTACATCCACCACGGCGGGGTATGCGCCAAGGCCTTGGCTTTCTCAGCCAAGTGCCAGGAGGTGCACGGGAGCAGAGGTGGGAGGGCCCAGGCTGCCAGAGAAGGGGGAAGCTCCTGGGCCTGATGGCATACGGTGCCAGGAAGTGCTCCCTCTTGGAGCCTGTGAGAGCACTGGCTACTGAATATCTTGCCCATCCTGAAGAGGCAGCCAGCAATTTAGGTCAGAGTGAACGTGGGGGCGGGTGCAGCTGGGGGAGGGGTGGTCGGTGCGGGTGTGGGTGCAGCTGGGGGAGGGGTGGTCGGTGTGGGTGTGGGTGCAGCTGGGGGAGGGGTGGTCGGTGCGGGTGCGGGTGTGGGTGCAGCTGGGCCTGGGCAAGATCACAGTCCTTGTAGACATGCTGACACTTGGGAACAGTCTTGGTCAGGGCTCCAGGACACGCTGGCCCTTCCCTTCCCATTTTATTCCCTTGCTGGTTATTACTCCATTGTGCCCAGAAGCTGCCCAGGACTTTACTGGCAGCTCTCCCTGGCTTCTCCTCCATGATGGGAAGGTGGACAGCCCCGCAGACCTGCCTGGGTCCTGTGGGGTGCTGTTTTTTCTCGTGGTTGGACTGAGGCCTATAGGCTGACCTGTATCCCAGTACTACTACCGCTAGGCCCGTGTCCGGGATGCTGGCCTGTGGGTGGCCCAGGGAGTGTGTCCACTTCTCTGACCTCTCAAATGGCTAAGGGAAGCCGGAACTGGAGTGCAGAGGAGCAGTGGACAGGATCACAAATGTCCTCGTAGCTGCCTGGAGTGGGCAGGCTTCTCAACCTGAGCCCATGGGAGGTGACTTTGTCATGTCAGAGCTAGTGCCGACCAACGTTCCCGCAACCATGTGGACCTGCTCAGGGGCCGCTGTGTGCAGCAGGCCAGGGCAGCCGGGGCTGCGGGGTGGACCAGATACCCACTGTTGTACCTGCTGGAAGCTTGGTAAGACCCTGGAGGAGTGAATATGCAGGACGTGTTGACGTTGGTGTGTGTGGAGGATGAGGCAGCCGTTGTGGAGGGCCTGGTGGGAGACCTGCTGGGGCTGGTGCTCTGCGCCCTCCCTGGTATGTTAGGCATGCCCAGTATCAGCGTGCTTGACTTGGTACGCCATCCAGTGCAACCTTGCAGCTTAGATGGGGCGTTGCCTTTCCCTGCTGCCACACACAGAGGTACAAAAGTCGCTCTTGGTGTGGGCTTGGGATTGCAAAGAGAGCCCTGGTGCTGGCATGAGGAGCTGCACTGTGCCGCTGAGTTGGGGCATTGGTGCTATGTCCTTTGCAGTGGCTGGGCAGTGTGTACCCCACATCTGGAGCATCCTGGCCTCTGGCCAGTCCTTGTGTACTGCTGCACTGGGCAGCAGCACCGCCGGTGTGGGCATGCCGGAGGGGGGCGTCCTGATTCCCCCCAGAGCTGGGCGCTGTCTCTTTCCCTTTACTATTTTTAGCTTCCTGCGCATCTCCTGGAGGAGCCGGTGATAACCAGGGACATCTATGAAGTGGCCGTCTCCCTAATTCAGATGTTTGATGACCTCGACATGAAAGAGAATAGGTGAGCGCTCCTGGCCCCCGGCTGTGCAGGCAGCTGGGAGGGGACCAGGGTGGGACGGCCTTTCTCCCTCTCCCTCTCTCTCTCCCACAGGTTCTCCTTTTCTGTCTCCCTACCTCCATCCCTGCCCCGTAACTCTTTAAATAAATCAGTCTTGCTGCCTCTTTGGGGGGTGGGCTTACAGCCTGAAGGTAGAAGCCAGCCTTGCAGGAGCCTCGGGGAAACAGCCTGTGTGTCCTTTCTGTTACAGTTGTGAGAGGCACAGTGCCAGGGGCTGGCAGGTGCCGCTCAGGCTGTGCTGCTCTGAGCTGTTTGTCGTCTGTGTATTTGCGTCTGCCCAGAGCGCTGTCACTCTGTCACTGTCTTGCACTTTAATCCTGCCTGCTTGGATGCTTTCGCCCCTTCCATGACGTATACCTTTAAAAACTGGGCTTCCTGTGAAGTCTGTCCGGTTTTGCTTTTGCTTCTGTTTTTAGGATTTACCTATTTTTACTTGAAAGAGAGAGATGGAGGCAGGGAGTGGGAAGGCTGAGCTTCCATCTGCTGATTCACTCCCCACATGAACACATGGCCGGAGCTGGGCCCCTCTGAGGCAGGAGCTGCTTCTGGGTGTCCCATATGGGTGCGGGGTCCCAAGAACTAGGGCCGTGTTTACTGCTTTCCCGGCACATTACCACAGAGCTGTATGGGAAGTGTGGCAGTCACTCCTGTAGCAATGCCCGTATGAAGTGTCAGCACTGCCAACGGTGGCTTAGCCTTCTGCCTGCTGACCGGCTGTAATCCCATGTTCAGGAAGCTCAGTGAGAGAGAACCAGCTGGCACAGGTGGGAGGTCCCATGTGTGAGAACACAAGTGGGTTATCTCCATGACCCCGGGTGCCATTGACAGGGACTCGGGGCAGAAGTGCTCGTGCTCAGGAGACGGGCACGGAGGGCATAGAGTGTGTGTTCTCGGGAGACGGGCATGGGGTGTGTGTTCTCGGGAGACGGGCATGGAGTGTGTGTTCTCGGGAGACGGGCATGGGGTGTGTGTTCTTAGGAGATGGGCACAGAGTGTTTGTTCTTGGGAGATAGGCATGGAGGGCCCAGAGCATTTGTTCTCGGGAGACGGGCATGGAGGGCATGGAGTATGTGTTCTCGGGAGACGGGCATGGAGTGGGGGTTCTCAGGAGATGGGCATGGAGGGCATAGAGTGTGGGTTCTCAGGAGACAGGCATGGAGGGCATGGAGTGTGGGTTCTCAGGAGACGGGCATGGAGGGCATGGAGTGTGGGTTCTCAGGAGACAGGCACACAGGAGTCGCTGATGGAGGTGGTCTCTGGCCACTCAGAGCACAACCAGACTCTTGCAAGGATTGCAGAATTGCTACAATGTGCCAGGCATGGGTTGGTTTGATCAGGTAGGGTGGTGTGACCTCTTGGGGGTTCCTTTGCCTGTTTAACTTGCTGGCAGCACTGAGCTTGTTGCAGGAACCTTGGTTTGGCATCTCACCCTTCTCACCCTGGCATCTGGTGCCTGGCTGGAGGCCTGCAAATCCATCAAGCTCATGCCCTGGCTGGAGGCTGTGCTGAGCAGGAGCCGTGAGTGGAAGGCGGAGTCTGCGGGCTCTGGGGTCGTGGATGGCATATCTGTCCTCAGACCTCAACTCGGGGTCTGTTGCTTTGTGGACAGCTTACTGTCATCCTGTCCCAGATGGGTACAGTCAGCCCCCCAGCTGCTGAGACTGGTTCTCCAGGTGTGATGGCCTGTCTGGGCCAGCTGAGGGCAGGTTCAAGACAAGTGTGGCTAAAGGAGGGCTCCCGTGTTGAGTCTGTGTGTGGAGCTGTGCCCACGGGATTGGACGGGGGCTACCTGGCCCTTGTGCCTGCTGTCCAGTCTTCACCATGGCCTGGGATGGACATGTCCCTGGTGCCCGCTGCAGTAGGCTCATCGGCTGCCTGGCACATTGCCTTCCTGTCCATTTTCCTGTTTGGTCCTTTCCAAGACTTTGGCCAACTCACCAGGCTCTTCTTTCTGTTGATGGAGGCTGGACTGTCCACATGGTCATGCCCCGTCCCCTGTCTAGAGGCTGGACTGACCCCCTGGCTGGGTCCCCTTCTGTAGGATGGGCCCCAGGTGTGTCCACATGGGTGTACCCTGCCCCCCATATGGAGGTGGACGTGGCTGTCACAGGGCAGGCAGGAGCCTGGTTACTGGTGACCCTCACCTGCTTGTCCTGTCTTGGCAGACACTATTCTTTCCGGCTTCTGCCTGCTGCCTCTGCATCTGCCCTCTCAGCTCCTCCAGCTGCTCTGGGTGCAAGGGGCATCTTTTGCCCTGTTGGCCATACTCCCCATTCTGCTGAGGGTGACTTGCCTGTTTCCTGTCTGTCCATCTGGAACGTTCTCCTAGGGATTGGGAACCTTTGGGCTTGTTCCTGCTGTGCTCTCTGCAGTGAGGAGGCCTGACCTGGAGGTTTTGGCAGGCAGGAGGATCCCTCAGAAGTCATTGTGACAGTAGGGGGCGGCAGAAGGCCCCAGTGGGGCAACTCCTGTTGCCATCTTGCCACAGGGTGGTTGGGTAATGCCTGGGACTCCTAGGTTCTGCTTGTGGTCACTTCAAGTGTCTTGTGGATCACAGGAACTAAGTGCAGCAAAAGCTTTGGCAAACAACAGGTTCAGGGCCTTGCACCCTGGGTCTCCTGGATGGCGAGCAAAGCCTGGCCTCACTTTCCGGAATCTCCTGGGTGAGGGGCAGGGCCTCGCCTCACTTCCCGGGGTGTCCTGGGTGAGGGGCAGGGCCTGGGTCTTGGCTTCACGTTGTGGCCTGTGAGAGGCTTCAAGGTCTAGGGAAGGAGTGTCCATGACGTCTTTGACCAACACTGTGTATGTCCCGTTCCCAACAGGACCAAGAGCTGCTCGGGAGCCCAGTTTGTGTCGGAGCGGAGCAGCGTGCTGGTATTTCTGCCAGGTAGGCATGTGGCTGCGTGTGGCACTTGTCACGTGGGGAAGTGGTGTCGGTCCGGCACTCCTGTTCCCTTGAGATCCAGGGCATGTGGAGTGACAGCTGGAGCTCTGTGAGGGCAGCCTCAGCCCTTCCAGTGTCCAGTGAGGTGAGCAGCTGGCCTGCTGCGGTCCCACAGTGTGCACTGGAGGAACGCTGTCAGTGCCATGCCACTGAGCTCCTCTCGGCCGGGCATGTGCTGGGCTCTCCAGGGCCTGCAGAGCTGACTTAGGGAAGGTGCTTTATGCCTTTACACAGTGACACAGCTGTCGGGGCACATGGGTACTGTTGGAAGGTAACCCGTGGCGCGCGTGTGTGTTGGTGCCTGTGGAGCTGGGGCAGGAGAAGCAGCTGGCAGACATGATGCATTGAACTGGCCATGTGGGGCCTGTGCTGCAGGGGCTGCCATGCTCTGCCTGGAGGTTTGCTTTACCAGCCTTTGCCTGTGAGTATGAAGTGATGCTTATATGCACGGCACTGTGAGAGCTCTCCTGTCCGCGGTGTCACAGGCTGGGCCAGGCACTCCTGCTGTCACGGCTGCCTCCCAGCGTGTGTGCTTGCTAGGAGCCAGAGCTGGGACTCAAGGCAGGCCCTGACTGGGGCCGGGTGTCCTTACTGCTGGCTAAGGGTCTGCTCCTTAGTGCATCTTGCTGGGGAGTGTGCTGTGACCCACGGCTGCCTCACACTGATGGTTCAGGAAACCGAAGTCTAACCTGAGTGACAATACAGTGCCTCCCCAAGCAAGATCTTAACAATACTAAGTTTTTAAAAGATTAATTTATTGTTATTGGAAAGTCAGATACACAGAAAGATCTTCCATCTGCTGGTTCATTCTCCAAGTGGCCACAATGACTGGAGCTGAGCCCATCTGGAGCCAGGAGCCAGGAGCTTCCTCCAGGTCTCCCACACGGGTACAGGGTCCCAAGGCTTTGGGCCGTCCTCGACTGCTTTCCCAGGCCACAGGCAGAGGGCTGGATGGGAAATGGAGCTGCTGGGATTAGAACCAGTGCCTGTATGGGATCCCAGCGCGTTCAAGGCGAGAACTTTAGCTGCATGGCTACAGCGCCAGGTTCTGTCGTGCAATTTTGTGTGTCAGAGTGTGGACCGCTAGTGTGGACTGATGGGGCTTTCTTGGCAGGAGTTGATGCTTTAGTATAGAGGTTGCTTTTTAGCAGTGAATGCAGATTTGTTTCTCTCTCCCTGCTGCGTCTTGTGTAGGTCTGAGTGAGATAAACTGCATGCATGAGCTTCTCACAAGCATGGTTCACAAAAGGTACGTGCCGTGCGGTGCGGGCGCCCGCCCGTGGGCCTCGGCCGTCGTCAGCGGCTGCCTGACTGCGGTCACCTGTCTCAGGCTGCAGGTGTACCCGCTCCACTCAAGTGTGACCTTGGAGGAGCAGAACAATGTGTTTCTAAGCCCTGTGCCTGGATACCGGAAGGTAGGACAATGGGGCTGCAGCTGAGCCCTCAGCTCTGTTGGCCGTAGGCCCTGCCAGGGTAGAAGCTGCGCCGTCGGGCCCTCAGCCTTGCCCACCAGTGAGCCAGGCCGCGGCTTGTGTCTGATGCCTCAGGCTGCTTTTAGAAAGGCACACACACATACTGTGTGCTGGGGGCTTCTTAGTCACCTGCTTGGTGTGCTCCGAGCATCTCTGAAGCCGTGGTCATTCCAGCAGTGGGAAGGTCCCTTTGATCCCTGGCTGTGGGGGTGGTGCTGACTTCCCGACGCCCTCCAGCCCTGCTGGAGACAGTGTGGGGCTGTGACCCCGGGCCCAGTGCCCTCTCTCTGTGGTGCTGGGGTCTCTCTGGGGCGCTGGGGTCAGGCCTTGCGTGATGTCCTGCTTCTTAGGATGCCAACCCCCACTCTGGACTGGAGCCTGCTCTGTGTGTCGCCCCTGGTCAGTGCAGATCCTGCCACACATATACCAAGGCTCAGGAACAGGCTCTCAGCCTTGTCTGCTTGGGCCAGTGCTGCGCCTGTGGCCAGCTGGCCACGTGGTCGTTTGGAACCTACATGCAGAAGGAAAATGACTGATTTCAGTTTTAAATTAAGAAGCTTTTGAGTAATCTTTACCTTTGTCTAATGACGCCTGGGAATCCGTGAGAACCCAGGGTCCTTGGTGTCCTCAGGTCATCTTGTCGACCAACATCGCAGAGAGCTCCATCACGGTGCCAGACGTCAAGTACGGTAGGGGACGTCCTGCCCTGCACGCCGCGGCCCTGGCGGGCGCCTGCGGCCCGTGTCCCGCACACACTGCGCTCCTCACCTTCCCTGGCCTGCCGAGATACCCTAGAATGCTTCGCCAGTTTTACCTACTCTAAGTTCACTGCTGCTGGCTGCTTTGTCGGCAGCAGGGCTTTGGGGGTGCCCAGGTGGACTCTGAGGGTGCTCAGTCTGGGTTGCTGAGGGAGCCAGTGACCTGGCTGTGTCTGCCAGCTGGACTCCTGCACGCACGGCCTTGGTGTCTGCACTGAGGTTGGTGCTGTGCGTGGCACATCTGTGGGCCAGGCGCCTGTTCTGTGTCCCTGTGCCATAGCCCAGCAGGCCTGGCAGGGGCAGCCACAGGAACAAAAACGAGGTTGCAGTTATGGGCAGGACAGACCAGTGAGGCATTGAGCAAGCCCTGGGTTGAATGGCTGTGTAGCTGGAACACAGTGGCCAGGTCGGGGTGCTGCCAGGGGGGCTGTGGCCTGGAGGGCGAGTGCTGGCAGTATGTGTGTCTGCCCAGCCTCGTGCAGCTGCCAGGATAGTCAGCAGAAACAGCAAGTTAAATGATGGGGAGTGTGCGGGGGCAGAGTAGGAGAGGGGCTAGGGGCGTCCTGGCCAGGGTGGCCGGCGGAGCTGGTCTGTGATGTGTGCGTTCTGTAGGGAGCAGCAGGGAACAGAACCCCACGTTGAGAGTGTGTGGTACTGCCGACAGAGAGCACAGGTTAGGCTGAGGGGAGGCTGGGAGTAGGCAGGCCGCGAGAGGAGCGGGCAGCTCTGAGGGCAAGCCGCGGGCAGGTGCTGTGCTCTGGAGGAAGGTGTCCTGAGACAGTGCAGGGCAGACTGGACATGTGGGTCTGGGGCCCGGCTGGGCGCAGCTGGCGCTGGGCAGTGGGTTGTAAGCTGGAGGCCAGGCTGTGCTCCCCAGAGAATACAGACTGCAGCAGCCACAGCAGTGAGGGCATGGGCCCTGTGGGATGCAGACCTGGGTCCAGAGGGGTGGGGGTCAGATGCAAAGAAAAAGTGGCCATAGGCGTTGGCAATGTGGACGGCTGCACTGACATCAACAAGGGCTGCTTTGTAGGAAGGGCTCAGCCCAGCGTGGAGGGTCCCTCCCGTGGCTTGGGGCTCAGCCCGGGGTGGAGGGTCCCTCCCGTGGCTTGGGGCTCAGCCCGGGGTGGAGGGTCCCTCCTGTGGCTTGGGGCTCAGCCCGGGGTGGAGGGGTCCCTCCCGTGGCTTGGAGTAGATTGCTTGGAGTGTTGGCTGGGAAGGGTGGGAGGAAAGCTGTAGGAGCGGAAGGGGCTTGGGGCCAGGAGACAGGTGAGCAGCTGGGAGTGGCTTACTGTGCACAGATTCACCATGGTCCTGTCCCCTCTGCTGTTGCTGCCTAGAGGATATGGCTCTCAGAAGATGGGACAGTGCATGTGCTGGGTCAGAACCAGCAGTCACAGGGCCGTGTGTTTGTGTGCACATGTGCAGTGTGGGAAGGCCACAGAATTGTGAGATGACACACCATGGGTCCTACACTTGAGTTGTGGGGTGTGGGGATAGCTGGTCTCTGCGAGGAAGGGAGTGGGACCTTGGATCGGGGGAAAGGAAGGAGTTATGGTTGTGGGGTTGGCAGCACTGTGGCCACAGGGACCACTGCGCTCGGGAAAGTTGCTGAGGCGGGGGCAGCGCACAGAGAGGCTGCCAACTGCCGCACTGGCGGTCACCACGAAGCAAGTGTGGTGTTGAGCATGAAAGGATTGGGATCTGGTGGCTGTGTGAGCCGATGGCAGGCAATGGCTGTGGGGAGTTAGGCCTGCTGTCCAGGGCAGGGCTGGAGCGTGGGGCACATGGGAGGGCAGGGCTGAGGATCGGGGCACGCAGCCCAGGGAGGGCAGGGCTGGAGCGCGGGGCACATGGGAGGGCAGGGCTGGAGCGTGGGGCACATGGGAGGGCAGGGCTGGAGCATGGGGCACACGGGAGGGCAGGGCTGGAGCGTGGGGCACACGGGAGGGCAGGGCTGACGATCGGCGCACGCAGCCCAGGGAGCCTCTGCCTTGTAACTTATCATGGAGCTGTCACTTGGCTTGACCTTAACATATTTGCTTTTAAAATACCAGTTATAGACTTCTGTCTGACGAGGACTCTGGTGTGTGATGAAGACACAAATTACCACAGCCTGCGCCTGAGCTGGGCATCCAAGACCAGCTGTGACCAGAGGAAAGGTAAGCTGCCGTCAGACCCCTGCTGCTCGCGGCCTGGGCCAGTACCATGCGAGCTGCCTATGTGCAGTGCCACAACACCAGCCCACACTCTGGCTTTTTAGACTAGCTCTTATTGCAGATTGGAGGGATTTATTCTTACCAAGAATGCTCTGGCTTATTCTGAGGATCTCGCTGCCCTGCCCTGGTAGAATGAGGGCTGTTGCTGTGAGGTTTTTTGTATGGACGGCTTCTCCTGTGTGACCCTGTCTGCTGGTGCCCAGGGGGCTCTGTGCAGGGGTGCCTGCTGGTGCCCAGGGGGCTCTGCGCAGGGGTGTCTGAGCCCTTCTCCTTTGCAGGCCGGGCTGGACGCGTGTCGAAAGGCTACTGTTACCGGCTGGTGCATAAGGACTTCTGGGCCAGCTCCATCCCTGCCCATGCTGTCCCTGAGATGCTGGTAAGGCAGGCCGGCCACTGCAGAAGCTTTCCCTGGGCAACTGAAGGCATGTGCTTTGGAGTGTTGTACAGTTCTTGAAGATTTTCTTTTAGTAGTTGAAAGGCAAAGTTGCGGAGACAGGGGGACACTGGTTCACTCCCCAGCTGGTGGCGCCCGGCTGAAGGCAGGAGCTTCCTGGAGCCTCCTATGCGGGTACAGTGGCCCACAGCTTTGGCCTTCCCCCTGCTTTCCCAGAGCTGGATCTCAAGTGGAGCAGCCTGGACTTGAACCAGAACCCACATGGGGCACTGGCATCAGTTAGCGACAGCTTGACCCCCTGGACACTGGCCTCCCAGAGGCAGTCCTGACAGTGTTGTGTGCGGGTGCTCAACCAGGGAGGGACGTGTCTAATGGAAGGGTGCTCCCGATGGGGTGCTCCCGGCAGGACTCTCCCCGGGCCCGCTGTGGTGTTGCAGTGGACGAGCTTCAGCCTTTCATCTCCCTCTTTCTCTCCGCTTGGTGTGCTCACCTCACCTCCTTTAGTTAGCAGACAGCTCTCCCATCCACTGGGTCGTGGCCCAAAAGCCAGGAGCCTGAAGCACCAACTGTGTTCCTGTGGCGATGGCAGGGACCCAGGCCCCGAGCCATCAGGGGCCACCACCAGTGGTGCCGGGGTGCACCTCTGTCAGCCCAGGACCTGACATGGGGTGCAAGCATCGTGGCCCCCAGCTGTGGCCCCCTTCCTCCTCCTCTCTCCTAAGCCCTTTCTCTGCGTGCCCCCTTGGCGTCGCTCCTCTTTTGTGTGGCACCAGCATGTGGATGGCTGAGTTGGGGGTTTTCTTGTCGCTCTGTTTTGTTCTTGCAGCGTTGTCCCTTAGGAAGTACCATCTTGAAGGTGAAGTTACTTGACATGGGGGAGCCGAGAGCTTTGCTGGCCACTGCCCTTTCTCCGCCCAGTCTGGGTGACATTGAGCGCACCGTGCTGCTCCTGAAGGAGGTGAGTGTGGGCGCGTGCGGGTAAGGAGGGGCCGAGGCTGGCCTGGCTGCCGCTGCAGCGTGTCTGGGGAAGCCTGTGCAGTGGCGAGTGCATGAGGCCGGTGGCTTTGACCGTCCCTTCGCTGAGCCTGCTGTCCTTGGCCCTGCTTCTGCTGCCCGCCATATGTGGTCACTGGGGGCACGGGGGCAGCAAGGGCTGCTCAGTTGGCTGCTGTCAGTCTGTGCGCTCCCTCCAGGAGCCCCTTGTCCACTCCCAGAGACCCTGCACTGTCCCCTCAATTGCTCTGGCCAAGCTCCAGTCTCACTCCTGGGAGCTGGTGTGGGTCCACGTGCCGTGAGCACCTGCTGTTCTGTGTTGTGCCCTTTAAGGGGAATCCTGGGTCTGTCCGTGGGCACTTTCTAGGCTGTGCCTTGGCACTGTGGGGTGCTGGCTGAACTGGTCTGATTGTGAGGACAGAGAGGTGTTTGCTCCAGATGCCCCGACAGTCCAGGTCTCCCATGGGTGGCACGAGCCCAGGGAATGGGCCATCACCAGCTGTCCCACTCCTGGCTGGAGTTTGATGCAAAGGCAGAGCTCAAACCCAGGTGCTCTGGTGTGGCAGGCAGGTGTCCCAGTGCCTGGCCTGGTGCCCGTGCTGTGTAGAACACTGCCATGGGGCGGGTGTGCTCTGGGTTCTAGGGCACGGGGGCAGAGCTCACCAAGCTGGGCAGGCACAGCACAGTGCCAGCCGCTCGTGGTAGAGTTCCAACTGATAGTACCTGTTGTCGGCTAGGTGGGCGCGCTCGCGGTCAGCGGGCACAGGGACGCAGAGAGCCCCCACGACGGTGAGCTGACCTTCCTGGGCAGGGTCCTGGCCCAGCTTCCTGTTAACCAGCAGCTTGGGAAACTCATCGTGTTGGGGCACGTGTTTGGGTGCCTGGACGAGTGTCTCATCATTGGTGAGCGGTGAGGGCCAGGGAACCATGGGGTGGGGAGCTGTGGTGTGGGAGAGGGCAGTCAGGGGCAGTGGGCCGGAGGAAGGCCATCAGGGGCGCTGGGGTGGGTGGTCAGTGGCAGTGGGGTAGAGGGTGGTGGCCAGGAGCACTGGGGAGGGCTGGCAGGGCAGTGGGGAGGGCGGGCAGGGCGTGGGGAGGGCGGGCAGGGCAGTGGGGAGGGCGGGCAGGGCGTGGGGAGGGCGGGCAGGGCAGTGGGGAGGGCGGGCAGGGCAGTGGGGAGGGCGGGCAGGGCGCCTTCCCAGCCGATGCACACTCTTTTCTGTTGCCAGCGGCAGCCCTTTCCCTGAAGAATTTCTTCGCTGTGCCCTTCCGGCAGCACCTTGATGGATACAGGTACGTCCCCTTCCTGTGTCACCGTGTCACTTGCCTCACTGCCGCTGGGTGACGGGTGTGTGTGGGTGACGGGTGTGTGTGGGTGACGGGTGTGTGTGGGTGACGGGTGTGTGTGGGTGACGGTGTGTGTGGGTGACGGGTGTGTGTGGGTGACGGGTGTGTGTGGGTGACGGGTGTGTGTGGGTGACGGGTGTGTGTGGGTGACGGGTGTGTGTGGGTGACGGCGTGTGTGGGTGACGGGTGTGTGTGGGTGACGGCGTGTGTGTGGGTGACGGGTGGGTGTGGGTGACGGTGTGTGTGTGGGTGATGGGTGTGTGTGTGGGTGACGGTGTGTGTGGGTGATGGGTGTGTGTGGGTGACGGTGTGTGTGTGGGTGATGGGTGTGTGTGGGTGACGGGTGTGCGTGGGTGACGGTGTGTGTGTGGGTGACGGGTGTGTGTGGGTGACGGGTGTGTGTGGGTGACGGTGTGTGTGGGTGACGGGTGTGTGTGGGTGACGGGTGTGTGTGGGTGACAGTGTGTGCTGCTTCTAGGAACAAAGTGAGTTTTTCCGGCAACAGCAAGAGTGACTGCATCGCACTCGTGGAGGCATTTAAAGTGAGTTCTGGGGGGCCAGCAGCGGTCAGCGGGTGTCCTCCGGGTTGCTGGCCGGTGTCCCTGAGGAATCTCTGGGGCTGCAAGAAGGGCCTGGGGAAAGTTAAACTTGCAAGCCTTGTGTGGTCACGGGGTATTTAAAACGATTGGGTTGAAAAGTCTAATTGGCAGCCCGGTTCTGTCGCAGGCGTGGCAGGCTCGCAGACAGCGCGGAGAGCTGCGACATCCCAAGGTGGGTCTCACCACGCCCGGGCTCAGCATGGATGACTCCTGGGGTCTTTCCGTGCTGGGGGGACCTCATGCTGGACCCATGGGTCTTAGTTGCCCTCCCTGTGGCCTTGGCTGGCAGTGTGTTCAGTTGAGGCTCAGGTGGTGGGCTCCTGTCTGCCTCCATGTGTTCCTTCTTGGTCCGAGGCCTCAGCTGGGTGGCTGCGTTCAGTGGCCGCCCAGCCCCACCCTAAGGCCACCTCTTCAGTAGGCAGCGTCACGCCTCCGCCCCCCAGTAATCAAGTTGTCAGGCAGGTGGACCCTCAGGAGAACATGGCGGAGGGGCTGGATCCCCTGACACCAGAACCGTGTGGGGGTCGCTGTGGCCCCCATGGGAGACGGGTCGGGGCTCTGTCACTCACGGCTGCGGCCAGAGCTGCAGTATGTTACCTTTCTGCTGAATGTTGTGCTTCTGTGTTTAAAGGATGAACTGGACTGGGGACGGGTCAATTACATTCAAATCAAGAGAATCCGAGAGGTGAGTGTGAGTCGTTTGGCCTTGCACAGGCGGACTGGCCGGTGCTGGCCAGTGCTGGCCGGCTGCTGCAGGCGTGCGCCCTCTGGTGCCTGCAGTGCAGCACTGCGGTCCAGCGCCCGGAAGCGCTTCTTCCCAGGTAGTTAATCAGGGATGTGCGAGTAGTTCCGTTAGATTGTTTTTTTCAGTATATATCAAAGTAAGTGTTCTTTTTAAATTTTAAGGTTTGTTTATTGGAAGGCAGATTTACAGAGAGAAGGAGAGCAAAGGACAAGGTCTTCATCTGCTGGTTCACTTCCCAGATGGCTGCCAGGCTGCAGACAGGAGCTCTGCTAGGTTGCCCACGCAGGTGTAGGGGCGTCTGCTGCTTTCCCATTAACAGGGAGCTGGGATTCCAAGTAGTGCCTGCATGAGCACTCCACTGTGGTACAGCACGTGCAGCCCCAGAGCCAGTGAGTCTGTAAAGGTTTGGGGACTGGCAGAGGGAAAGATCTTGAACCCATGGCCCATGCCCAGATGCCTGGTAGCTGGCACTGGCCCTGGTGGGCAGCAGGGCCCAGACTCACCCTTACTAGGGATCTGGGGTTGAGAGTGGAGCCAGCTAAGGCTGGGCCCTCGTTTGGGGCACTGCTGTGACAGGAGGCTTGCTTCCCTCTGTGCCCAGTGCTGGCTGCTGAAGGTTGCTTCATTCCTCACGCTTCTCCTGGGACATGCTGGTGCTCCCCTTGGGGAGCACGTCACTGTGAGGCGTCAGGTCCCACTGTTTTCTCAGGTGGCTGAGCTGTACGAAGAACTGAAGAACAGGATGGCGCAGTTCAACGTGCACGTGGGCGCCCGGCGGCCGGTCCTGGACCAGGAGCACACACACAAGCAGCGCTTCATCCTGCAGGTGCGCAGGCTGCCTGCTGCCTGCTCCTTCCGTGGGGCGGGTGCGGGCCTGTGCCCCGAGAGGAGGGGAGGCAGGCCTGGCTTGCCCCTCGGGCTGGTGTTCTCTGACCGCAGAGGGGGCTCCTCTGGGCTCTGGCGGCGTGCCCCCCTTTGCCTTGGGAAAGCCTTTGGTTGCAGCTTTTTACTTTTAACCACGTGGTTTTTGAACAGGGGAGAGAAAGAAAGAGATAAATCTCCTATGTGCCGGCCCTTCATCAGATGCCTGCCACAGTTAAGGCTCGGCCAGGGCAAGGCCAGGGCTAAGTCATGTGGATCAGCCACGTGGGTCAGCCTCATGGACAGCAGGGTCCCGGGTGCTGCAAGTACCTGGTCCCTCCCAGGGTGCACCTTGACAGGAAGTGGAGTGAAGCCAGACTCAAACCCTGGTTCTGATACGGGGTGTGGGCATCTGGGCAGCAACGTTAGGGCCAGCCCACACACCTGTCTCTTTGATCTTTTACGAAAGCAGAAGTGCTGGTCTTAGCATTGGCCACCATGCACAGCAGGTCCCTGACGCTGACGGGTGCTGTGGCGTGGTGGCTGCGTGTGCAGGTAAAGAGCTGTTGGTGGAGCTCATGAAGTGGCAGCAGGAAGTGCGTCTGGCAGGGGGATAGCCAGCAGCTGGGGCACGAGGGAGGTCCCTGTGGCCTGGAAGAACTGAAGGTCAAGGAGCAGGGGTCCTTGCAGGCACATGCTGCGCAAGCTGAATCTGCACGGCAGGGAATGCCGTCAGCCGGCCTGTGCTCCTCCTCCTCGCTGGGGATTGGGGTGCTCTTCCCCCTCCTCTCTGGGGGCTCGGGGTGCTCCTCACACACCTTCCTCCTCAGGTTGTCCTGGCGGGTGCTTTCTACCCCAATTACTTCACCTTCGGACAGCCGGACGAGGAGATGGCGGTGCGCGAGCTGGCCGGCAGAGACCCCAAGACAACCATTGTGGTGGGTGCTGGGGCTAACTGGGTCTGCCTGTTGGTCAGCAGAGGGCCAGTGTGGGGTGTGCCGCTGGGCTAAGCACCAAGGGTGGCCCTGGGAGTGAGTGTTTGGCCTGGCTAACCTCTCCATGTGCTGTCATTAATCTACAATCCTGGTAATATTGTTTATATAGTTGGGAGGGATACATGCCATTGTGCGTCTGACGGGGGCGGGGGCTCAGACAGGGAGGTGGGTGAGTCAAATGCTTCAGGCTGTTTTATCTCCTGTGCAGTAGGGAATGGGGAGGATGGGGCTGCTTGCTGTCACTGGGGGGGTCACTGGGTGACGCCTTAGAGCCCCTGATGCGGGGAGGGTGCGGTAAGGGTGCTGTTTGGGTTTTGATAGTTCTGAGAAGTTGCTGCTTTGGTTGTTCTGGGGTCACACGCTGTCTTGACAGAGGTCAGGAACCGTCTGTGGGCTGTGGGCTGTGTGACAAGTCAGTGCTTCACGTTACTCCACGAAGAGCTGGCAGCTCGGTTCTGAGGCTCGCCCGGTGATTTCCTGGGGAGTGTTGGCTTATTCTTAAGTTCAGGTTTCTTTCTGGATGGAAGGCATGGCCTGGGTGCTGTCACCCTGAGCCACAGGTGCTGGCTGCGGTTGTCACTGAGGGTCAGTGATTCCAACTGTAGCTGTGTGAGTCAGAGCTGGGCCTAGACCTCAGCCCGCGTCTGACAGGGCAGAGCAGTGCGTGGTGAGGTCAGTGCTGGGTACACGGCAGGTGCTTAGCCATAGCCAGGGTTATAGGCACCCCCGCCACGGCCACTGGTGAGAAAGGGGAGGAGTGTGGATGGTGCGATGGAGGGGCAGGGGTGTGGGTGGGGCAGTGGAGGGGCAGGGGTGTGGGTGGGCAGTGGAGGGGCAGGGGTGTGGGTGGGGCAGTGGAGGGGCAGGGGTGTGGGTGGGGCAGTGGAGGGGCAGGGGTGTGGGTGGACAGTGGAGGGGCATGGATGTGGCTGGCACGGTGAACGGGGCAGGGATGTGGCTGGTGGTGAAGGGGCAGGAGTGTGGGTGGATAGTGGAGGGGTGGAGTGTGGCGGGCATGGTGGAGGGGCAGGGCTGAGTCTGGCCTGGCCCCATGTACGGCGGAGCCTGTCGTCCTGTGCAGGCTGTGACGAGCCTTTGTCCACCCGCAGCTGAAGCATATCCCAGCCTATGGGTTCCTGTACTACAAACAGCTACAGTCCCTCTTCAGACAATGTGGCCAGGTCAAGTCCATCGTGTTCGATGGTGCCAAGTAAGTAATGCGGGGTGTGGTCAGCCTCGAGCATAAGGGGGTGTGGCGTGTTGGTAGACCTTAGAACCCACATCTAGGCCAGCGTTGTGGCACGGTGGCTTCAGTCACTGCTCGTGACACCAGCCTCACATACTGGAGCCCCAGTTTGCCACTCTGCTTCTCATCCGGCTCCCTGCTGAGGTCCCTCAGCCTTCAGTGCCTTCAGCCCCATCTCTATCCCGGACATGAACATACCTCAGAAAGTGTGTGAAAATTATGTGCTACAGGTAGTCACGTGTGGATTTCAGAGTTGTCTGTGCTGAAACAATCTCAATTTTCATGTATGTGAAAGGTCGTGAGACAAAGACCAGCAGATGCTCTGCTGGTTCAGTCCCCAGAGGCTTGTTCAGCCAGGGCTGGTGCCCAGAGTTCATCCGACCCTCCATGGCACAGACTGGCACACCTCGCCAGCAGGAAGCTGAGCCCTGCTGAGCCAGGCACTCCTGTGTGGGCTGTGGGCATCTTGCCCTCTAGGCCTTGACTTGCTTTTCATTCTGCTTTTCCCTGAGCGTTGATGCCCTGAATGCCTTGTGAGGCAGCTGAGACCACCCGTCCTCTGGCCTCCCTCGACGGCTCTCACAGCTTAGTGAGTTAGCAGTGAAGGTTTTCTTTTTGAAGTGGGAAAGACAGATCACATTTATGGAGAAAGATCTTCCATCCAGTGGTTCACTTGCCAAATGGCCACACTGGCTGGAGCAGAGCCAATCCCAAACCAGGTGCCAGGAGCCTCTTCTAGGTCTCCCATGTCAGTGCAAGGTCCCACGATTTGGGGCCGTCCTCAACTGCTTTCCCAGGCCACAAGCATGGAGCTGGATGGGAAGTGGGGGGCCACTGGGATTAGAACCGGCGCCCACGTGGAATCCCATGAATGCAAGGTGGGGATTTACCCTGTGAGCCATCATTCATTGATTTGTTTGAGAAGCATAGCTACAGAGAGAGGAGCTTCTCGTCCACTGGCTCATGCAGGATGGTTCTGGTGCAGGGGCTTGGCTGGCTGGGACCGGGACCGGGAGAGTTTTCCAGGTCTCCCGTGTGGGTACAGCGGCCCCAAACCTTGGGCCATCTCCCATTTTGATGAGGAGCATTTATCTAATATTAAGAGAATTTGACCAGATGCCTAACACTTTTAAACTTTGTGTTTGTGGAGCAGAGCCTTTGTGGAGTTCTCACGGAATCCAACAGAGAGGTTTACGACCCTTCCTGCAGTGTACATGGCGATGAAGATGTCCCAGCTCAAAGTGCCCCTGGAGCTCAGCATCCACGCAGCCGAGGAGATCGAGGGGAAGGTGCAAGGCGGGGCCGTGTCCAAGCTCCGGAACACCAGGTGTGTGCGTGGGCTGGCCTGATGCCACGGCCATCACAGGCTTGCTACACCAGGCTGCTGAGAAGATGGGGTCAGACCGCTTCCGGGCCTGCGGGCTTAGGGGCTGAAGTTCAAGTTGCTTTCCTCTGTTGTGCCCAGAGGAACTTGGGCGTCACAGGGATTGGTGGAGAGGGCGCTTGCTCCACCCAGCCTCATCGAGGGTGTGGCGTTGTGGTGTGGTGGTGTTGTGGTGGAGGATGGATGTGGTGTGGTGTTGTGTTGTGGTGGAGGGTGGATGTGGTGTGGTGTTGTGTTGTGGTGGATGGAGCACTGAGTGCACCGTGATCACGTGATCATGAGAGTCCGGGCATCTGGGCTGCCTGGCTGCTCAGCAGCTGCTGAGAACTCCTTGCAGCTAAGAGTGAAAATGAGAAAAGCAAAATCCTGTGTCTACAAAATGTGTGCTCCGTGCTCCACAGCTGTGGTGTGCGCGTGTGGCTGTGGTGTGCGCGTGGGCTGTGGTGTGCGCCTGTGGCTGTGGTGTGCGCCTGTGGCTGTGGTGTGCACCTGGTCTGTGTTCTTAGGGCATGTTGAGCAGAACGTTGACACTTTGTAAAAGGTGGATTGATGCACTTAAAAGGCAGTGTTAGAGCAGCAGGAGAGAGATCCGTCTCCCATTTGCCAGTTTACCTACCGTGTAATTGCAGTGCCCGGAGCTTTTAGAAATCTGTGAGGAACCCCTTCCAGGTCTCCCCTGTGGGTGAGGGCTTGAGAGCTCAGGCCGTCTGCTGCTGCTCTCCCAGGCACATTAACCAGGAGATGATTGGAAATGGAGCAGCTGGGACAGCAGCGGGTGCCCATGTGGAATGCCACTGATGCAGATGGTGGCTTAACGTGCTCTGTGCCACAATGCTTGTCCCATATGTGGATTCTCGTAGGTGTTTTTTTTTTTTGTTTTCTGTTTTTTGTTTTTTTTTAGATTTCAGTGGATGAGCTAGGTACACTGAGTTTAAAGAATGGGGGAGCAGGAAAAGGGGGTGCACAGGCAGGAGCTGGAAGGAAGTAGAGCAGCAAGAAACGAACTGGTGCCACATGGGATCCCAGCGTATGCAGTGTGAGGATGTCAGCCACTGGACCATCTCACTCGGCCTCATTCTCATTGATTCTAAGAGTAAAGCCACTCCTGGAGTCACAGCTTAGGAAATGTGTGTGGGTCCCGCAGGGAGTCTCCTTAGATATGTAACTCAGGGGACTATCTGTGGTCTTGTCTCCATGGACCTCCACCTCGGGTGACTGTTCTCCATGGACCTCCACCTCGGGTGACTGTGGTCTCCATGGACAGTATATCTCGACTGTCCCCCGACAGTTTTGGCTTTGTCGTGCGTCTTAGAGGGCAGGCCAGCAATTACCTAAACTCGCTGTTTGGGGTGAAGTCACGCATGGCACCTCAAGCTTGGATCATCCCTGACGTCCTTTTAACTCGTGGTAGCACAGGCTGGCTAGAATGGTAATGCCACACTTGGAACTCTGCTTTTTCTTTGTAACACTTTTTATTGTCTTTTCTTAAACTGAAATGCAGGGTGAATGTGGACTTCCAGAAGCAGACAGTAGACCCAGTTCAGGTGTCCTTTACCACGGCGGACAGGTCCCGGGCAGCTACAGACCTCCTTCTCAGAGTCGATGTTACAGAGGTGAGCTGGTGTGCTCTGCCCCTGGCAGCTTTGTCTGTGACCACGTCCACACACTCCCAGGCCGTGTGCCTCAGGAGCCTGGCACAGGGCCGTGGGCCTGCTTACTGTCCTGGGAAGGGTATAATGGCTAACGCAGCGAAATGAAGAAACGGCCCCCTCAAGCCCAAGGTGATTGTGAAGAGCCTGACTCCTGTCCGATGCCAGTCTAGTCCGATCAGGCCGTGGCAGTATTGAACTCGTGTGGCATCGGCAGCACTCACCTCTTCCTATTGCTGCTTGGGGCTGATGGTTATGTCTGTAAAAGGGGAGTTCAAGAGCACTTGTGTGCAGCTTTCCCGCACCTAGGAGCTGCTGCAGAGACCCGGGTCCCGGGCCGGTGCAGGCCGTCATACTTCTCGTCTAGGGCCAATGCTGGCCTCCAGAAAGGCCATCCCTCAGGGCAGTGTCGTGCACCCCTCCGTGGTCACCCTTGAGGCGTCATCCCTGCTCCTTTCTCCTCCTGCAGGTGGTTGAGGTGGGTCACTTCTGGGGCTACAGGATTGATGAGAAGAGTGTGGAGGTCCTGAAGAAGCTGAGTGCTGAGATAAACCGGCTCCAGCTGGCACCCTTGCCCGCTCACCCGCACCCGGACTTGGTCTGTCTGGCACCTTTTGCTGATCTTGATAAAGAAAGCTACTTCCGAGCCCAAATCCTTTATGTTTCTGGAAATTCTGCCGAGGTATATTTTTCTGTAGTAAATCACTCCAAGGAAAATGACACAGATGTAGTTGAGATCTTAGTAATCACCTAAGGATGGCTGGAGCTGTGTTCCCCACGGTTTGGGTTTGTGCTCATGGTGCTGGGAGCTGTGTGTTTGCTGAGGCTGTGTGGCTTGCTGTATCGCCACTGCACCAGGGCCCTGTGCCCCTGTGCCCCTGTGCCCCTGTGCCCTTGTTCCCCTGTGACCTCCGCCATCTGTGTCTGCTAGGTGTTCTTCGTGGACTATGGCAACAGGTCTCAGGTGGCCCTCCATCTTCTCATGGAGATGCCCTCTCACCTGCTTCAACTCCCGTTTCAGGTGAGCGAGAGAGCAGTGGGTGGTGACTGTGAGCGAGGGTGGGGTCTCCCCACTGCAGTGCACAGCTGAGGGCCATGGGCCCACACATGCCACGTATGGGTTCTCTTGTTTCAAAAGAGTCTGCCCTGGGTGCTCTGGCCACTGTTGGTTTGGGAGCAAGTTAAAATAGATGGAGAGGTTCCAGCCTAGCCAACAGTGGTGTTTCACTTTGGTGATATTTTCTCAAACAAATTCTAAGGTTGTTGGTTCTGTTGAAGTCAGATGGAATGTGGGTGGGCTGGAGTCGTGCTCACACCAACAGGGAAGCAGTCTTCCGGTTGTCCTGCGTTGCTTTCAGGAAGCAGGAGGGGCTGTGGTTTGGCGTGGAGGCGGTGGGTGCCGACCTTACGTGTCCCAGTACCTGCGCTCCGGTCCTGGCCCACTCAAGCTGTGGCTTCCAGGGAATGCGCCCTCGGGAGTTAGCAGGGGGTTAGCAGGGGTTAGCAGGGGGTAGCGGGGGGTAGCAGGGGGTAGCGGGGGTTAGCAGGGGGTAGCAGGGGTTAGCAGGGGGGTTAGCAGGGGGGTTAGCAGAGGGTAGCAGGGGTTAGCAGGGGTTAGCAGGGGGGTTAGCAGGGGGGTTAGCAGGGGTTAGCAGGGGGGTTAGCAGGGGTTAGCAGGGGGTAGCGGGGGTTAGCAGGGGGTAGCAGGGGTTAGCAGGGGGGTTAGCAGGGGGTAGCAGGGGGTAGCAGGGGGGTTAGCAGGGGGTAGCAGGGGTTAGCAGGGGGGTTAGCGGGAGTTAGCAGGGGGGTTAGCGGGAGTTAGCAGGGGGGTTAGCAGGGGGGTTAGCAGGGGTTAGCAGGGGGTAGCAGGGGTTAGCAGGGGGTAGCGGGGGTTAGCAGGGGGTAGCAGGGGTTAGCAGGGGGGTTAGCGGGAGTTAGCAGGGGGTAGCAGGGGTTAGCAGGGGTTAGCAGGGGGGTTAGCGGGAGTTAGGGGGGTAGCAGGGGGTAGCAGGGGGGTAGCAGGCGCTGCTCGTGCGTCTTGGGTTTGTGTCACCACTGGAAAATGGACCTTGTGATCCACGCTGCTGGATTTGGTCTGGCTCAGGTCCAGCTATTGCAGGCATTTGGCGAGTTAATCAGCCTCTTTCTGCTGCTTACTTTTAAAAAGATGTATATATTTATCGGATAGAGTTACAGAGAAAGAGTTAAAAACACAGAGAAATATCTTGGGTCCACTGGTTCACTTTCCCAGTGGCTGCCACGGCCTGGGTTGGGCCGAAGCTGGGAGCCTGGCGCACCGTCCCAGTCTCTCATGGTGCGTTCCTTAATGTGTCACCTGGAACTGGGTGCGAAAGTCAGAGTGTGCCAGCCAGTGTCGCAGCTGTGACCCTCCCCACTATAGCACAGCTCCTCTTCAGCCTTTTAAGTAACAGAGAACGAAAGAAAAAAGAGAAGCAAAGCCAAGTTTCTTTACCTAAAAAGTTGTGTGAGCCTGATGGGGACCCACAGGCATGTTATTTTCCAGTGGTATAGGGAAGGTCAGTGGCCCACTTGCTGAGGAAACGGTCCCGGCTTTGCTTTGCTGTAGGCTCTGGAATTTAAAATTTGCAAAATGCGACCATCAGCCAAGTCTCTGGTCTGTGGGGAGCACTGGAGCGGCAGGGCCAGCCAGCGGTTCACCGCCTTGGTGAGCGGCTGCGCACTGCTGGTGAAGGTCTTCTCCGTGGTGCACAGCGTCCTGCACGTGGACGTGTACCGCTCCTCGGGCGCCCAGGACATGGTCAGCATCCGGGATGTGCTCATCCGAGAGGGCTATGCCGAGCTCACAGAGGAGTCCTACGAGTCCAGGGTAGGTGCTCCCGTCCTTGTTGAAGTGTGAGGGGGAAAGAACGCACATGTGTCAGCTTGAGTGTGTGTGACACAGAATATGTGAGGTGGAGGGTGTGTGATAGAGTGTAAGTGTGAAGGGAATATGCATGGGTATGTGAATGTGTGAGGGGAAAGTGTGAGCTTTCTGTGAGGGAGAATGCATCTGTGTGAGGGGAGTGTAAGTGCAAGTGTGAGTGTGTGAGGGGAGTGTGTGTGAGTGTGGGGAGTATGTGTAAGTGGAAGCGTGAGTGTGTGTAATGTACATTTGTGAACATTAGTGTATGCGTAAGTGTGAGGAGGGACTAAACATGCATGTGTGTACATGAGGGACTGTGAGTGTGACTGTGAGTGTGAGGAGTGTGACTGTGAGCGTGAGGAGTGTGACTGTGTGAGTGTGGCTGTGAGCGTGAGGAGTGTGACTGTGAGCGTGAGGAGTGTGACTGTGAGCGTGAGGAGTGTGACTGTGTGAGTGTGACTGTGTGAGTGTGACTGTGAGCGTGAGGAGTGTGACTGTGAGCGTGAGGAGTGTGACTGTGTGAGTGTGACTGTGAGCGTGAAGAGTGTGAGTGTGACTGTGTGAGCGTGACTGTGAGCGTGAGGAGTGTGACTGTGAGCATGAGGAGTGTGACTGTGTGAGCGTGAGGAGTGTGACTGTGTGAGCGTGAGGAGTGTGACTGTGTGAGCGTGAGGAGTGTGACTGTGAGCGTGAGGAGTGTGACTGTGTGAGTGTGACTGTGTGAGTGTGACTGTGTGAGTGTGACTGTGAGCGTGAGGAGTGTGACTGTGTGAGTGTGACTGTGTGAGTGTGGCTGTGAGCGTGAGGAGTGTGACTGTGAGCGTGAGGAGTGTGACTGTGTGAGCGTGAGGAGTGTGACTGTGTGAGTGTGACTGTGAGCGTGAAGAGTGTGAGTGTGACTGTGAGCGTGACTGAGCGTGAGGAGTGTGACTGTGAGCGTGAGGAGTGTGACTGTGTGAGCGTGAGGAGTGTGACTGTGTGAGTGTGACTGTGAGCGTGAAGAGTGTGAGTGTGACTGTGTGAGTGTGACTGTGAGCGTGAAGAGTGTGAGTGTGACTGTGTGAGCGTGACTGTGAGCGTGAGGAGTGTGAGGGAAGGAGGCGGTGGCGAAGTGGGTGCACCTCTTGCAGCTGTGCAGTGTTGCTTCCTCTTGCAGTGCAGCTGCTGCCATCGCCTAGAGCGCTCAGGCTAATCAACATCCTTTTTATGTTAGATTCAAAAATGTTCTGTATTGTGGATTTTGAAAATGGGTTCCAGTATCTTTCTATTTGAAGTAAATAAAACACTTCTTTCAAATATCTCAGTATCTCTCAGCCAGTTCTCTGCAGCTACATGTAATGTAATTGGTATGGTCTGAAGGGTTCAGAGGGACCACTTTGGCAGCTGCTGTCGAAGAACCCTCTGAAATCCCCTGGTGGCTTCTGGGGGTGCAGGGTGCTGGGAGCTGGCAGGGTCGCCCTGCAGTGGATGCTGGCTGTGCAGCTGGCCCAGCGCCCTGCCTAGGAGGGGCCCAGCGCCCAGGGCAACTGAGAAGTACTGGTGTGACACAAGCTGTGTGTCTGCACCAGTCTTCCGAAAGATCTCTCTCTGGGCTCCGGTGGCTGGGGGCTAATCCATCCTGCTGCATTTCTCGGGATGGTTTGACGACGAGTGACGCCTCAGGGCAGGACTGCGATGCTGTGAGGCCGACATGAGGCGATGGCAGGTCAGGGCCGTGATGCCAGTGAGGCTGTGTGACGTGATGTTTGTACCCTTCCGCATAGACTTGCTCTAACCAGGCGACTCTGTTTATTCAGCAAAGCCACGAAGCCCTCAAGGCCCTGTTTTCCGAGTCGGCAGAGATGGGGCTGGACGATGGGTCGCCGCCGTCTCCCGCGAAGGATGAGAAGCAGCTGCTCCGCCTGCTGCTGGAGAGCTTCTCCTCCCACAAGCTGGGCACCCCAACCTGCAAGGTGACACGGCCTGCTGGGCGCTGCAGCTGCCCGGTGCTATCGCTTCCCTCACTGGAACCAGCTCCGGGTTTGATGGGATGGGAAGGAAAGCTCCTACTGCGGTTGGGCATTCTGACAAGGGCTTCACGGGCTGGTCCCTCCTGGGCAGAGCCAGCAACCAGGAGCCCGGTCAGGCCTTGTGCATTGGTGTTGGGGGCCCAGCTTTTCCCTGCTGCCTCGTGGGGTGTGCGTTTTCAGGGGCTGGTGTCTGGGCATGAGGCCACCACGGGCGCCTCAGGGGCCGCTGCTCCACTGCCCTGCTCTGCCCTGCTGCTCTGCTGTAGCTAAAGGAGTAAGGTGGTTTCTAAAGTACTTTGCCATGTTGCTTTTTTTTTTTTTTGGCCTAGGGTGTGCTCACTCTCCTTTTATTTTTGGATTTATTTATTTAAAAGGCAGTTAGAGAAGGAGAGACAGAGAGATCATCCATCTACCGGTTTATTCACCAAAATGGCCACAGTAGGAGCTGACCCATCAGGAGCCAGGCGCCTCTTCCAGGTCTCCCACACCGGTGCGGGGTCCCAAGGCTTTGGGCCGTCCTCAACTGCTTTCCCAGGTCACAGGCAGGGAGCTGGGCAGGAAGTAGAGCTGCTGGGACTTGAATAGACTTGTCCCCTCGAACATACATGAGGTGTGAGCACTGCAGGCAGAGGCTGATTCTGTCACTCCACGGTACTGCCTGTTCTAGGACTTTTTTTTTTTTAAGATTTACTTTAATTGGAATAATTTCTAGAGATTTACAGAGAGGAGGGAAGACAGAGAGAAAGATCTTCCATCCTCTGATTCACTCCTCAAGTAGACGCAACAGCCAGAGCTGAGCTGATCCAAAGCCAGGAGCTTCCTCCAGGTCTCCCATGTGGGTGCAGTGCCCCAAGGCTTGCACTTGAAGGGGAAGGATTAGCCAGTGGAGCCACTGTGCTGGGTCCTCTGAGTCTTGTTTAAATGCCTAACTTGAGGAATGGCTAGGAAATCATTGGAAGGAACCAGTTGCATCCTAGACGTCATCCGGGCTTTTCTCTTAGTGAATCGTGAGGATTTTGTGATGAAAAGCAGAGGCTGGCCTTGAGGGCAGCAGCAGCCCGCCTTGCGGCTGCTGACACGTACACTACATGCTGTGTGCAGGCAGTTCTCCATGGGCCCTTCAACCCCTACGAGCTCAAGTGCCACAGCTTGACGAGGATATCCAAGTTCAGGTAGGGTGAGCTCTGCTGTGGGGTTCCCTCTGCACCTCCCGAGGGCCGCCCTGAGCCGCAGGCTGCCCCAGTGCCTGCCTTCTTGCCCCGGCCGCTGCCGGGCCAGCTCCTTCTCTGCCCTGGTCTCAGTGGCAGAGCCGAGTATCTCACTGACTCGCTGTGGTGGCTGCTGTCATTGAGCAAGCTGGGAGTGGTTCGGGGCGGCAGCCAGGGTCAGGACACTGTCGTCATCTTGTCTAGAATCGGGTCCAGAGGGCAGCTGGCAGTTCTGGCCAGCGTGCCAGCTCTCGGTGGGGTCCCAGGAGCTCAGGGAAGCACTGGGGGCCTCTGGCCACACCAAGAGGTGTGGGAGATCCTCCAGGGACAGCTGAGACCTAAAGACCTTGGCCGCCAGCCAAAGTACGGGTGTCTGGGGGTGGTTCCCGAGGGAAACTGGGTGGGTCGTGTCACAGGGAGGGACTAGGCATTGTGTGTGAAGAATGAGCCGACTGGGGGCTTCTGCTGCAAGCCAGGTTGGAGTCTTCACCCTCAAATGTCTGGAGGGGCTTCAGTGTGGAGTCGGAAGATGCTCAGTGCGGTGGGCCGTGGGCCCCCAGTGCATTGTAGAAACCTGCTAGGAAGACTGGTTCCCAGGCAGGGCCTTGCAGGGACTGCCTGCGTGTTCACACAGCTGTGGGTACTGGGTGTGCCCAAACGGCTGTGCTGGGCTGGCCTCTTGGGGCGGGTACAGACGGGTGCTGGGTGGACCACAGCAGGCCCCCTTGCTGGGGTGCAGGGAGTGGGAGAGTCACAGGTGGAGGTTGGACATCCTAACACTGTGGCAGATCTCGCCTAGGGGCCTTCCTCCATCCCTCAGCCCTCCTCACCCTGGTCAGTGGCCTGCACGGACATACGTCCTTCTCAGCTGTAAAGAACACTAAAATTAGAATTTACAAAAGGCTTGTGTATTCTGCTGCCTGTGAGTGCCTCCGACCGTGTCTTGGGATAGGCTCCTGGCAGGCTGGGCGCCCTGGCCCCCTGGCCAGAGCTCTCCCTACGTGCCCCTGTGTGCCTCAGGTGCGTCTGGATCGAGAAGGAGAGCATCAACTCTGTCGTCATCAGCGACGCGCCGGCCGACCCCCAGCAGAGGATGCTCATTGCAGCGTCGCTGTCCGTCAACTCCACTGGTACCCGCAGGGTTTGGTTCACCTCTTGCCATTCGCTCATCCTTGACTTCGGTTCTAGAACAGCTGCTCTGTTCCTGGCAGACAAGTCTGCGCTCTCCTGCTTTGTTTTTAGACTGGTTTCTCAGAGCACTGCCTGAGCCAGTTGAACAAGTGGGACGTTGTCCCTCTCTTTTATGAGTGTGGGCAGTGAGTGCTCTGTCCTCTGGCTCTAGCCCTGATAGCCTGTCGGAGAGACAGAAGAGTGGCCCCAACAGGGGCATCCCTAGACGTGCTGCGTGTGAGCTTCCTGGGCCATGGGGGCAGGCTCTGGGGCAGACCCTGAGGCCGATGGGGGTCTGTGGAGGGGTGCTTCGGGCGCACTGAGCACCCTCTGTGCCTTGACAGGGTCCACCATGCTGCTGAGAGAGACCTCGCTCATGCCACCGATCCCCGGCCTCCCTGCCATCCTCAGCATGCTCTTCACGCCGCTCATGGAGCTCAGGTACGGCTGGGCCTGGCCGGGCACTCAGCGACAGCTGTCTCCCTGTGCTGGGCACAGTGAGGCCTTTGTCATCCCCGTGGGGCATACGTGCCGGACGAATTCAGGAAGATGCTCTGAGGACTTAGCAAGGACTGTCACAGAGCCATTTGAGCTACAAGGAGGTGCGAGTGCTGAAGCTCGGGGCTGAGTCCGGCTCACAGTAGGTGTGACTTGGCTATCCTGCTGTAGGCTGCAGGTGGGTCTCCATGGTCACCCTGAGTGCAGGACAGAGACCCAGCCGTAGCTCCGGGGGTGAAGAGAACTGTGAGGCCATGTGAGATGGGCTTTGGAGGGCCGAGGGAGGGGCCGTGTGTATGATGTGTGGTTGCATTTGGACGCTGCGAGCTTAGAGCCACAGCGGGGGCGGGGCGCGGAGCCCAGGCTGGGCCGTAGGTGCCTGTAGTCCAGAGGTGAGGTGGGGCTAGACCCGCACGTGGAGTGGAGGAGTGCCAAGTAGGAAAGTACCTGTGTTCTTTCGCTAGTAATTTTCATTTTTGTTTAGAAGGCAGAGAGACGTTTCCCATCTACCAGGTCTCTCTCCAGCTCCCATAACAGCAGGGCTGTGAGGAGCCAGGGGATCCCTGTTCTGGGTTCCGGGGGGGCAGGGCTCCCTGTCCCAGATTGGGGGGCAGGGGCTCACTGCCACCTTTTCGATTCAGCTCAGAAGGGAAAGGAGTCAGGCGCACCCCTCGCTAGGAAGGTCCAGGGTTGTAAGTCAAGGTCATGGCCACCTTCCTCGCCTAGTGCTGGCCTGGCCCTGTACCCACACTCCTTCCTGCAGCCCGCTGCCGCCCATCCCTACATGTTCCCTGCACAGCTAGGGCAGCTGGAGCTCCTGGGACAGCTGTCTGCTCTTTCCGGGGTGGCTGCAGGCCTCGGGGTCCGAGGGGAGGCTCTTCCAGCAGGGGCTGAGGGCCCCAAGGGCCTGTCAAGCTCGGGGGAGACAGTGCTAAGTGTCAGGACAGGCAGAGGCTGGCCTGGGGAGACTCCAGCTGGAGCCATCAGCAGGGGGCAAGGAAAGCTGTCCAAAGCTGAATGGGAAGGGTGCATGCCCCGGGCTATGGCTGGAAAGAGGTGGCCCCCAGAGAAGGGGGTGGGGACAGCCCCCCCGAGGGCTGGGAGTGGTGCCCATGGACCTCTGCTCACCCCCACGAGGGCTCCCTGTGGGTTCTGTCAGGGCTGGCTGGGCGCGGTGAAGGCTGTAGCATCACATGTTGTTCTGTGAAAAGGGTATCTTCACCAGACACAGGTGTGGGGCCATCCCCCAGGTGTCTGCCTGGTCACTGCTGGTCACTGCATGTGACAACCCGGCATGGGCAACAGCTAAAAAGTCTTTTTGTTGTTCTTTTTAAATAGGTAATTTGTTTTGTTTGAATTACTTATTTTATTTGAAAGGCAGGGCTAAAGAGATGAGCTAGGGAGAGAGATCTTCCACCTCTCTGCCTGGTGGCTCATTCCTCAAAGGCTGTGACAGCCCAGGCTGGGCCAGGCTGAAGCCAGGACACGGGAGCTTCGTCTGGTTCTCCCTACTAGAGTGCCCTCCCTCAGTGCGTCCCAACGTGTCAGCAAGGAGCTGGCTCAGAGGTGAAGCAGCCTAAACGGGCTCCCACGGGGGATGCCAGTATCACAGGGCAGCTTGCTCACTCCCCACAACACCTGCCCACCAGGTCTTGCCTCACGTAGGGGCTGCACACAGTGGGCTCATTCCCCACCCTCAGTTGGAAGGCAGTCTTTTTTTTTTTTTAAGATTTATTTTATTTTTATTGGAAAGGCAGATATACAGAGAGGAGAGACAGAGAGGAAGATCTTCCGTCCGATAATTCACTCCCCAGGCAGCTGCAACGGCTGGAGCTGAGCCAATCCAAAGCCAGGAGCCTCATCCGGATCTCCCACGCAGGTGCAGGGTCCCAAAGCCCCGGGCCGTGCTCAACTGCTTTCCCAGGCCACAGGCAGGGAGCTGGACGGGAGGCCACATGGGATCCCGGGCGTGCAAGGGGAGGATTTTAACCACTGCGCCATCGCACCAGGCCCGGGAGGCAGTCTTGATTCACTCGTGCAGTGTTGAAAGGCCTCAGGAAGTTTGAGAAAAATGCCAAGGCTCCCTGTAAGAATTGGGAGTGGGAGGTGGTGAGCGTGTGGAGGCCGAGTGTCAAGGCCTGGCAGAGGCTGGCTTGGCAGAAGCTGGCCTGGTGTGGTCTGGCGTCTGAAGCTGTGTGGAGAGGGTATCTTTGCTCTTCCAGGCCTGCGAAAGATATGGCATATGTACTGTGTGCAGGGCCTTACCCAGCCCTCGCCTCATGGCTGAGGCTGCACAGTGCTCGGAGCAGGCACGGTGGGATGCTGCGACAGCTCAGACTCAGGCTGTGGAGCGCACAGCGGGGGAACATGCACCTGGTGCTTCCCCGAGGAATGCTGGCCTGTCCTCCTTGGGTGCTGCTGGGCATCCTGCAGTGGCTGCCCTGGACACCTGTTCCCTCTGTCTGCGGCAGCCCCAGCTATTTGTGGAGCTGCTTCTGTGCCTCTGACAGGACTCATGCTTCCAGCTGGAGATGTGTTGGAAGGACAGGGTTTGGTACCTGTGGCTCCTGACCTCTGGTTCAACTCCAGCTTCCTGGCGGTGCAGACCTGGGAGGCTGTAGTGATGACCAAGTGCTGTGGGAACCTGGGTCTGCCAGTAGAGTCCTGGCAAGAGAAAAATGGCATCTCAGCTCTTGAGCCAGTGGTGAAAGAATTCAGATAGTTCCAGTCAAGTAAGACATAGTTATTAAGCAAAAGTCAAGTACACTTGGAAAGACCAGCAGCAGGCTGCTCTGAGTGGCTGTCCCTGGGGCGGGACGCCGTAGCCTGGGGAGCGGGCCCTGAACATTTGGAGCATAAGGTGGGGAATGGGATGGTGTGCCCCTTCTCTGCTGCTGAGCATGCGCTGTGGGGAGTGAAGCCTGTTTCCAGTGTGCACCTGCTGTTGGTCAGCTCGTAGAGATGCTCAGGGCTCCTTGAGGCACAGCTGGTCCCATGCCCACAGGGCAGCTGATGTGGTGGCCCATCTGGGCTTACCTTGCCGAAGTGCTGTCATCACTCGGGGACCACTGGCTAGGGTCACCTTGCCCTCATTATGTCATCCGTGTTGGTGGTTTTCTAGGAGGTTCGTGACTCACAGGGGCCTCCTGCTAAGGGGAGCCGAGCCTCGGTAGACAGGGCAGAGAACACGCTCTTGGGTGGTTCAGGCCTGCAGACAAAGCTGTACCTGGTGTCTGCACCACTCACTGCATCAACAGCGCTACCAGCTGAGTCAGGACGTTGTGTCCTAACCTTCTGTCTAAAGGTGGAAAAAACTGACAGGGCGGTGGGAGGAGCCTGGGCTGGGTGGGTGTGGTCAGCAGTGGACTGACAGGGCGGCGGGAGGAGCCTGGGCTGGGTGGGTGTGGTCAGCAGTGGACTGACAGGGTGGCGGGAGGAGCCTGGGCTGGGTGGGTGTGGTCAGCAGTGGACTGACAGGGCGGCGGGAGGAGCCTGGGCTGGGTGGGTGTGGTCAGCAGTGGACTGACAGGGTGGCGGGAGGAGCCTGGGCTGGGTGGGTGTGGTCAGCAGTGGATTGACAGGGTGGCGGGAGGAGCCTGGGCTGGGTGGGTGTGGTCAGCAGTGGACTGACAGGGTGGCGGGAGGAGCCTGGGCTGGGTGGGTGTGGTCAGCAGTGGACTGACAGGGTGGTGGGAGGAGCCTGGGCTGGGTAGGTGTGGTCAGCAGTGGCTCTACACAAGGCTTGGGGCGCCTGGAGAGGGAGAACTGGGTGGGAGGGGGGCTGGGGAGAGGCTGCAGGCAGGCTCTGTTCCCCAGGTGGAGTAGTGCAGGGCAGAGATGGGGAGCCCTGGTGGAGCACTGACAGGTGGAAACACGCTGTGGGAGATGTGCTCGTGTGGGATGGGCAGGTGAGGGTCAGGCTTGCTGGACAAGCCCTTCTCTGCAGACTTTGACGGGGCTGAGACACAGAAAGAATGCCCAGGGGAGAGAGTCCCCTGTGTTTCTGTTAACACTTCTGCCTCGGCAAGAACTAGCGGGGCTGTTAGGCTGTGGAAATGTCTTATGAACTAGTACCCGCTTGTCCTATATGTCTTTTGGGTAAAAACCAGCAAATGTAGAACTTGGGGTGATTTTGTTGGTCAGTCCTGTGATGGAGGATCAGCCGTGGAATGACTCCCCTTGTTCTGCGCCATGCTCTGCAGGGTGGATCGGGCTGGGAAGCGCTACACCGGAGTCCTCTGTGGCCTGGGCTGGAACGCGGGCACAGGGACCGCTGTGCTGCCGGAACACGACATGGAGCTGGCGTTTGACGTACGCATCGACGTGGAGGACATCATGGAGGTGTGAGCGTACAGTGTGGCAGAGAGGAGAGGATGGCATGTATACCGGTGCCTGGCACCAATTTGCTCGGTGCCCTATCCCTGCCCCTCTTGTCTTGGAGACCTCAGCTGTGTGTGTGTGTGCGCACCCAGGGGGTTGGGTGACACTGTGGTGTTGTGTCTACTGGCAATGGGAGCAGGTGCCGGGCCAGGGGTCTGGGGGTGAGCAGGAAGTGGTGTCTGAGCCTCATTCCAGTCAGGTCTGTGGGGAGCAGGAAGCAGAGTCCTGTCCCTGCCCCAAACACAGGTGTCCTACCTGCTGCAGAGCCCCAGACACTTGGGAATGTGTCACAACAGACGCTGAAGTCTGGAGCAGAGCCACACTCAAGCTCAGGCCCGCTGAGGGGGTGTGGGTACCACATCAGAACCAGCAGGAGCTTCAGGAAGCTCCAGGGGAGGGCTGGGATGGGCACAGAAGGGGTCAGGGATGTGGGTCCGGGCACAGGAGGTGGAGGTGCGAGGATGTGAGGCTGGGCACAATAGGCAGAGGTGTGGGGCTGGGGGCTGGGCACAGGAGGCGGAGGTGTGGGGCTGGGGGCTGGGCACAGGAGGATGTCTGTGCTGTTGCTGCAGTAGCCGTGTCCTTAGAACTTAGCAGTGTGCGTGTGGCGGCCAGCTGCTGCAGACTTGTAGTTCTCATGCAGGTTTACTCAGAATTGGTGATGCTAAAATGCTGGCAAGCCGTGGCTGGAGAGCCCCTGTGGGTGCCTGCCCCTGGGGGTGACATTGTTGCCTGTCAGCTTTGTTACACCAGGCTTGAGAAAATCCTTCTAGGTTCTGCTGACTGACCACGTGCACCTTGGTGCATCCACAGACCCAGGAGATGCTGCAAGCCTTGGCCAGGAGGATGGTCCAACCTGTTTTGCTTTCCATCTTCTTACAAGGCAACTAATATCGCTGCTGGCCTAGATGGCTGGTGTGCACCTGGGCATGCTGTCCACGCACAGGCGTCAGCCCCTGAGGAGGCCCAGTCCTCATACGTACACTGCATGGTCGGACCACATATCCTGTAATTTTCCTGTGGCTGGCAGCAGGTCTGAGTGAGGTGCCCATGCTGCTCTTCCTTTGCAGATCAACATCCTGAGGGCCGCCATCAACAAGCTGGTGTGCGACGGGCCCAACGGCCTCAGGCATCTCGGGCCCGAGAGGATTGCGCAGCTGCAGGAGGACGCCCGCCAGAAGCTGCTGAGGTCAGCTGTGTGCCCACGAGTGGCCTGGGTGGCATGCCAAGGGTGGGTGTGGACACCACAACACAGACACTGCACCCCTACCTGCTGAGAGCTGACTTGCATCTCATGGTTCAGGGAGGAAGAACCAACTCCCTGAGATGGGTAAGAGGGAGAGAAGGTAGAGGATGGAGTGGGTGGACAGGAGGGCAGCAGGTGGCATGAGATGTGGCCTGAGCCTGGCACCTGGGAAGGTGGCCTGGCCCTCCTTCTTGCTTCTCCATTGTCCACGCCAGACAGCAGAGGGTAACTACAGAGGTTCACAGTCGCCTGCTTGTGCGACCGAGCCGTCACAGTGCCTGAGTGCCCTCTGCAGACCTGCCTGCCTCGCTGTTTCATGGCTGCCAGGAGCTTTGCAGATTTAAAAAGCAGCTCAGTGGTTCTGGAGAGCTCAGGGCTGTGGAGAATGCGACTGAGCCCATGCAAGAACACTTCTGTGCTCAAGGTGCAGTGCTTGAGCTGTGCATCCATGGTGCCAAGAGGGTTGAAGCTTGCCCCAGTTATAGCCAGTTCTGGCCACGAGGTGGCCTGGCAGGGGGCTGTGCCCTGGGAAGACAGTCCTTGGGCAGCTGTGTTGGTCAGAGCTCAGTGCTTCCTGCGCTGCCTCTGCCTGCTGGCTCACTGAGAGCATGTGCCTGTGCTGTATGCGTGATCAGCTCTCGGCCAAACCACTGAAAGCCATGGGAACCCTCCTGACAGCACCCCAGGCTGGTCGCTGCAGAACCTCGAAGCTGGGCCCTCGGGGTGCTGGAGGAAGACAGGTCTCAAAGTGCAGATGGAACCGGGCGGTCTGGCTTCAGCCCAGACGCTGAGGAGTTGGGAAGGCTCTTCTACCTTGGGACCGGGGCTGGGAGGCGTGTGATCATCTGTCCAGTCCCTGGTGGGCTGCGGAGCTTTTGCCCTCCCTGTGCTTGGTCAGGGTGCCCCGATGGCCAGGTGGAGTCCAGGTACTCTTGAAAATACAGAGATCATAAAAATCACTGAGGTGTTTTCAGTTACCAAGATAGCAATACAGTCAGAGTTTTCTATCACTGATATGTAACTCAGACAATTTCCTTTTTTAAACTAGCTTGTTCTGCCAGTTGAAACCAAGAGAAAGAGTTATTCCTACATGGCATGAAAAGCCCTACGAGTGGAACCAGGTGGGTGAGAGGTGCCCGAGCAGCCTGTCCTCTGGCTCAGTCCTGGCCAGCTGCGGCTGCTGGGAGCAGAGCCGGAAGGCAGGTGTGTGCCGGTGGCTGCTCAGGCCGCAGCGTGTTGTCCTAGGGCTTGGGAAAGCAGCATCCATTTGGAGCCTTCAGCTGGTGGGGACCTGGGCGAGGGCCCTCCTTGCCACCCCTGCCACGGGGCTGCCGTGTGGCCACATGCCAGGAGAGGTGAGCTGTGGGCTGCTTCTCCTCATGCCAAGGCTGTAGGCCTCCTGTCTCCTCACACAATGCCTTCTCCCCACCTGCTTCTGTGCTTGGGAGCCTGCTGGCTAGGCCGCCCAGGCTCCAGGGGCTGGTCCTCGTGCTTGGTGGGCAGGAGAGGGGCTTAAGCAAGACTGTGTCCGCTCAGCCGGAAGCCGCCTTGGAGGCAGCCGGGTTTCAAACCATGAAGCCCTGCCTGAGCCGATGACATCACAGGTGGTCCCACCTTCCCCCAGGGCATGCTGTCTGCCCAGTGCGATGTGGGGCACCCAGCCTGGCAGGCCCGGGAGTGAACAGTGGAGCTCTGGGGAGTCTCCTGTTCGACTCAGGTCACTTGTTAAGTGAATGTGACGCCTCCTTGCCGCCTGCACAGGAGCTGCTGGTGAAGTGCCAGGCTCCTGGCCTGGTTCTGGCTGGTGGGAACATTCAGGGAGTGAAGCAGCAGAGGGACCCCTCCCCCAATGTCTCCATCTCTGCCTTCCACACAAATAAGAACTAGAAATGAACAAGAATGAATCCCAGTGTGCAGTGTGGAGGGGTGGATAAGCACCTGGAAATATTTGGGGAGAACTGAGGGATGATTTCAGAGGCAGGTCCAGTCCATGCCTGTCCCTGTGTCTGTTCGTGTCCATGGGGTCTCCATGATCTGCCTTTGCCGCCTCGAGGAGCCCACTCTGGAAGGGTCTGACTGTGTGCCCTCCGCAGGTGGACCCGCAGCTGGTCATGGAGCAGGTGCGGGAGGAGAGACGTGGGAAGAGCACGCCGCTGCTCCAGCTGCACAAGCTGATCGTGCTGGGCCCCTGACCCCCGCAGCCGGACGCGCTCTCCGTGGCACGCAGTCGGACATTGCCCCTTGTGCTGCCCGGTGATGTGGAGGGTCTGCGCCATCTAAACCCTCGGGAAATCGGGAAGCAGACTGCCTGGTAAAGGAGCTCCAGTTGAAGTAGCCACGTTGGCATGGAACATTCTAGAGCCTGTAGGTTTCAGCCTTGGGCTCCCAGTTGACCAGACAGAAAGCTGGGACCTGTTTATAGCCATGGTGTGTTTTCTGATGTTTTTCCATGGAGGAGGATAACTAATTTTGGAAAACCCAACTTTACTTTTATACATTTAAGATTTTTAGTTAACTCACGATTCTTGGTCCGCATGTCAGAAATCAGAGATTACCTGGCAACTTCTCTGTGTGTGTGAAAACAATAAAAGCATTACACAAAGTTGGCTTGTGGCTATTTTTTAAAAGATTTATTTATTTTTATGGGAAAAGCAATATTACAGAAAGGAGACAGATCTTCCATCCATTGTCTCTCACTCCCCAGATGGTTGCAATGGCCAAAGATGAGCCGATCCAGAGCCAGGAGTCAGGAGCTTCCCCCAGGTCTCCCACGCGAGTGCAGAGTCCTAAGGCTTTGGACCATCCTCCACTGCTTTCCCAGGTCACAGGCAGGGAGCTGGATGGGAAGCAGGACTGCTGGGATTAGAACCAGTGCCCACATGGGATGCCAGTGCTGGCAGGTAGAAGATGAATGAACCGAGCCGCTGTGCCAGCCCTGTGGTGGTGGTTAGAAGAGGTGGATGGGGTTTGTTGTAAAGAATCCGGTGGTAAAGGGGCACAGACGTGTCTGAGCGCTGGGGTTCTGTCTGCATGCTTGGTGCATGGTGCCAAAGAGGAAGCACAGAAGGGTCCGGGCAGGACCACAGCCCAAGCCTGTCCCTGGGCAACAGCCCTCAGATGGCATGGGTGAGCTGGGGGTTCTGCCTGACTGGCCTGTGGCTCACCTCTGAGAATGGTGCCCTGGAGCCACACCCACCGTGCCAGCTCTGGGAAGTCCCCAGTGCCAGGCACTAAGGGGTTGGGGTTGGGACTTCCTGGCTATGGCTAAAGGCTACCAGGAGCATACACAGCAGCTTTCAGGGTCCAGGCCCTGTCTGCCGGCAGGAAGGCTCCCCCGGCGGGGGCAGCAAGTGCTGTGTCCGCATGGCTCCTTGGTCTGCTGGCCTATCCAGGGGACTGTGGGTTGCAGAGTGGCCAGCGTGGGTTTGCAGGCACCATATGTGTGCGTGTATGCCACAATGGAGAGACACCCTTCTCTTCACCCGCCAGATGCCACCAACAGCCAGGACCCTGGAACTCCCTCTAGGGCTCCTCCATACTTGCCGCCAACTGCTGCCTCTGCACGGTGGCGGAAACTGGGGCCTGGACATTCAGCTCAGGTGTTCCATGCAGTGTCTCAGCTACCAGGCCATGTGCCCAGCACCCGGCTGGAGTGTGGTATGTTTTGTAGAAGCGCAGCCTGGCCCGGCGTCGTAACCTAGCAGCTAAAGTCCTTGCCTTACGTGCACCAGGATCCCATATGGGTACCAGTTCTAGTCCCGGCAGCCCTGCTTCCCTTCCAGCTCCCTGCTTGTGACCTGGGAAAGCAGTTGAGGACGGCCCAAAGCCTTGGGACCCTGCACCCATGTGGGAAACCCGGAAGAGCCTCCTGGCTTCAGACTGGCTCAGCTCCAGCCATTGCGGCCACTTGGGGGTGAATCAGCAGATGGAAGGTCTTCCTCTCTGTCTTTCCTCCTCTCTGTATATTCCAATAAAAATTTTAAAAATAAATCTTAAAGCAGCACAGCCCTGGGAGGAAGCCCTGTGTGCCCTGAGCTGGTCATCGTGGGCTGCCTTCTTCCAGCTGGGATGTAGCATCCTGCTGTCTTGTGGCTGCAACAGATGTCTGGGTGGGCATGGCCACTGCTGCTTCTGCCCACACAGCTACACTGCATTGCTGTGTGAATGCAGTGCCAAGCAGTGCCTCCCACTGGGCCTCTGCTGCTGGAAGCGTGGCTGATCCCCACAGGGAACGTGAGGTGGGACCTGCCTGAAGGCTGCCAAGGCAGAGGCTGGGTATGTACCAGCACTGGGGAGCTCTGGGTGTCAGACCAAGGAGCCACCGTGGGGGCCACAGTGGGGCCTTGGGGCCACATGGCCTACAGCTACTGCTCAGTCCCCTTGAATTGTGTTTGGGAAACATTAACAAAAAGAGATGGCATTTGACCACAAGGAAGCATTTCTGAAATCAGAAGGTCTTAAGACCACGCTTTTGGGTTGTAATCATTAAAATTAGACACCTGCCCACACTTCAACTGCTTAGAGGCTCACAGCCCTACAGACACCCAGAGCTGAATGTGAGACACCCCAGTCCACATCGGAGTGCTGTTTCCAGTCTGTTACTCCACTTCCTGTTCCACTTCTGGAAAGGGCATCCTGGGGGGCAGTAGTGTGCAAGGCTTGGGTGGAGGGCCTGGCCTACCTGGGCTGTGGTGGAGGGCCTGGCCCAGCTGGGCTGTGCTGGACAGTGGGGAATGAGCCATGGCTGGAAGGTCAGTTTTGCCTCCCTCATTAATCAGTGCGTCTTACACAACTACCCCATGATGTTCAAAAAACAACCACTAGGACGGGCTTTGTGTCCGAGATGGAGATAAAGGTGATCCAGAAATAAATCCACAAGCTGGGTCCATTGCACAAGGAGCAGAAACCACAAACCAGGCTGGGCAGTTGGGAGTGGGTCGAGGCGTCCACAAGGGTTGCTGCCTTGGCTGGAGGCCTGGCCAGGGCTCTTGGTGTCCATGCTGTGGCAAGGTGGGCCCAAAATTCCTGCAGAATATGAATGGGAGGAACAGGTTAGCAGTAGGTGGACCCCAGAGGAATTGAGAAGGTAAGGTACATCTGGGGGGTGGGGGTAATCACCCCTTCCTGGTAAAACCCACCAACCCTGGTTCTCAAGAGATGGCGTTGTTGAGCTCGCAGCAGGTGAAGTGCCTCAGGAGGCAGCCTGGCGTTGGAGCCGTGTGGAGCCAGTCCCCGGGATGGGGCGCTGGAGCCGTGTGGAGCCATCAGTCCCGGGGTGGGGTGCTGGAGCCGTGTGGAGCCATCAGTCATTGCTTGTTCTGGAAACTTTCAGAGTCACACTGTCGGTCACGAACATACAGAGAAACGAGAAGTGAAACGGATTTGTTACGCCATGGCTGAAAGCGTGAGCGACGTGGTGAATGAAGACATTCATTTCGGGTAAGTGGTGTGTCACAGTACTTGGACTCAGGCGGTGTGCCTCAGGTCGGTGTCCAGCTCTCCCTGCTTTGCTGCCAGCAGCTCTGTCATCAGCTGGGCCACTGACCTTTCAAGTTGGGGTTGTTAGGAAACCTCACGCAGCCCAGCCCGACACGCTGCAAATGGACTCGGGGACCAACGCCTGAGGCCCCAAGGTGCGGGGTGGGGGCATTGTGGTGGCCTGTGCCCTCAGCTGGGGTCTGCTTCCCGAGAGGCAGGAAGACACCCCTGCCCAGCAGGTGCCTGCTTCGCTCCGGCGGGCCTGCAGAGTCTGGGGCTGGATGAGAGCGGGCTTGTTCCCTCCCTGTGGACTTGCAGCCCAGGGACTTGCAGGTTCATGTGCAGAGCGAACACGAACAGAGAGCGTGCCACCAGGTGTCCCTGGAATGGGGTAAAAGCTCCTTGAGCGAAGCTTGCTGGTGTGTTAACCTGGAGAGTCCTAGTGCACCAGAGGGTCTAAACACATCTTACCACACACACAAGCTTCAAACCCAGAACCTGGTGTGGGACACGATGCCCTCACCAGCTAGCGCTGAGACCGGCCGATGCCATGGCACAACCCAGGCAAACCCCGCCTCAGGTCCAGGGTCCCAGTCACCCTACAGGGTGTGGACACAGCCAAGCCCACGCACAGGGTCCTGGTTGGGGCAGCTCGGCCTCCCAGCCTCTGGTGCTTGGCTTCTCCGGGGAGTGCGGCAGAGTATGGCTGCTGAGCACTCCTTGCCTGTCTGCCGGTTGTCCTGGGGGGAGAATGCATGGCCACTCCCGAGGACAGCAGCGTCAGGAGGGCTTCACTGAGGCCCCAGAGCCCCTGGATGGGACTTCCCATTGCTGCACTCCCAACCCCACAGATGGGTGCCCGAGGCGGGCCTGGGAGGGCAGTGAGCACAGGCTGGCGCAGGCACCTCTGCCTGCCCAGCCACGCCCAGGGGCGGACACCTTGGCCCTGCCCCGGCCAGGCCCCGCCTCAGGCTGCCCCGCGGTGTCCTGACCGCCTCCCCGCGTCCCTGTGTTCCAGACGGCATGGCGCGCGCCTTGGGCCCTGAGCGCCGGCTGCTGGCCATATACACTGGCGGCACCATCGGCATGCGGAAAGAGGACGGTGGTGAGTGGGCTGGGTACCCCTGGGGTTCACAGGCAGGGTTGGGACCTTCTTCCTCCTGTCCCCCTGGGTCCAGCCCCCGCCTCCCGAACCATTCAGAAACCCAGGTGCCCTGCAGGGGGACAGGGCAGCAGTGGCCCCAGGATCACCCTGGTGCTGTTGCTCTAGGTACCGGTGGGTGTGGGCAGGAGGGCCCCTGAACTTTGCCCTGCCCTGGCAGAAGCAGGTGGGTTCTGTGGCAGGGGAAACAGGGGTACCACATGGCTCTGCGCCCCAGCACCTGAGAGCCCTGTGGTTGCAGGAACCCCAGACTCCTGCTGCTGGGGTCACAGTCCCAGCCTTCTGTCCCCTCTGTCGCGGGCACTGAAGACAGCCCCATGAGGTGTATGTCCGGGTCCTGCCTGGGGCCTTTCCAGGATTGGAGAGGATGGCGGCACAGCCTCCGCGTGGCTCTGCTATGTGTGGTGGGGGAGGGGTGGAAGACCCCGCGTTCCTTGAAGGACCTGTTCAAGGGTGAGTCCTCCAAGCTCAGCCTTCGTCCCACCCCAACCCGGCTGCCTAACCTGCTGTGAGCACAAGCAGAGACAAAAGGAAGCTGAGCCTGCCCCCTCTGGAGGCTGCTGCTGCTCCTCAGTACACAGCCCCTTGCCCAAGACCAGTGCCTCACCACTTCCTGGAGGCTGCTGGAGCACCCCTCACCACCTCCCCTGCTGCAGGAGCACCCCTCACCACCTCCCCTGCTGCAGGAGCACCCCTCACCACCTCCCCTGCTGCAGGAGCACCCCTCACCACCTCCCCTACTGCAGGAGCACCCCTCACCACCTCCCCTACTGCAGGAGCACCCCTCACCACCTCCCCTCCACCCTACTGGCACCAGCGTCTCCTTGCCATCCCTCTTCCCCCTCCTGGCCTCAGCTCTGTCCTTGGCTTCCAGTTGCTTCTCTGATTCCTCAGGCCTGGCTTGGAGCAGCTCATGGCCCGTGGCATGGGGCATGGCTATGTCCAGGCTT